TTGCTATTTAGAAACTTCTCAATTTTGTCCTACATAATGATAGGTGCTACTGCTTCCCAGTGATCCTCTGGATGCTAGAAACATAATGATTGAAGGTACATATTCTCTTTCTTTACAGTATTCTCTTTCATGCATCATGGCTGAGACTTGTGCTATAGGACTTAAAGCTATTTTCTAATCTCTCTGAATAATGTTTGCATTTTAATGATGGAAAATATAGAAAATATTATTAAGGAATTTATTAACTTGATAAAAGAGAGGCTGCATCCATCATCATATGTGCATATGACTGAATTAAATGGTTACAATTACTAGTGCTACTGTTTTTTAATTTTGATATAAGAGGAGTGCTACTCCTTTATTTGATTTATATACATCACAGAGTGGCCTAAATTTTGGCTTCTCCCATCATGTACACTTAAGTTGCACTCCACAATTCTGGATAGCTGAGCTTAACATATCAATACGTTATTTTCTTCGTTTATTTTTCTAGCTCTAAAGGTTAGTATCATCTTTCACTTCTGCAGTACGAGCAGGAACTGGTGGTGACGAGGCTGGAATATGGGCTGGTGATCTTGTAGGTACATGCTTACATTTGTCGTTTCCGAGTCTAATCCATGTGGAATGCTTAAAGTACACAGACATGTAACAAATGACAAATCTATTATTGGATCATTTCTGAATTGTTTAACTGTCCCAACTAATTTTTTATTATTCTGGTTCAAATGAAGGAACCATTAATGTGAAGTTCAATTATAAGCATATTCTTATGTTTAGTGTTTAATCAGGTTCGAATGTATGAAAGATATAGTGAAAGGAATTCTTGGAAGTATTCTCCTGTCTCAAGCTCTGCGGTATTCCTCATTAAAAATCTAAAAATAGTTTCTCATTGCTTATGTAATTTGTATAAATATTTTGCCGTCTTTTAGGCAGAAAAAGGAGGATACAAAACTTATGTGATGGAGATAAAAGGAAATCGTGTTTACAGTAAATTGAAATATGAATCTGGTGTGCACCGTGTTCAACGTGTTCCCCTGACAGAAACACAGGGCCGGGTACATACTTCTACTGCAACAGTGGCTATCATGCCAGAGGTGGAGTACATATCTATGGCTTTTAGCAATAAACTATTCATGATCCTAACATCTTGTTTTGAAAGCTATCAAAGCATCATTTAAATTCTTCACATTTTGGCTATTTCTAATTTGATATTTTATTTGAAGTTACTGCTTCTGTTTAACGGTCTATCTGAATCATACAAGTATCTAGATTAAGTCTAAAGTGTATATATAGATAGAGATATAGTGTTGTCGCAATTTATCATCTATATTGTGGAAAACAGCTTAAATTTTGTAATTAAAGGTTGATGCTCTATAGATTATTTGTTTTTATTTTTATTTATGTTCTTTATTCAGTTTAATGTTTAGCATTCTGATTCAGTAAGTATATGCATGCCTTCCCTTCTTTTAAGATCTAAAAACATCTAAATCTATTCATCTGGAATATTTACTTAGGCTGATGAAGTTGAAGTCGTAATTGACCCCAAAGATATTGAACTGACAACGGCACGTTCTGGGGGTGCCGGAGGTATATCTGTGAGAGACCATTTTAGTCAAGTAATTAATATTTCTATTCCTTGGAGCAAGAGATAAGCTCCTCCATGAAGTCTGATGAAAAGACATCTTGCAGGACAGAATGTTAACAAGGTTGAAACAGCCATCGATCTCTTCCACAAACCAACGGGAATCCGCATCTTTTGTACTGAAGAAAGAACGCAACTCAAAAACAAGAATCGTGCTTTTCAGTTGCTCCGAGCAAAACTGTAAGCATCAATATTACCATGTAGCTTTTTTGTTTATTTGCCAACTTCACATAGTTTCAGAATTGAGTCATGTTTATGTCTGAAAAGTCTTCCAGCCTGTTTATCCTTTTCCTCTTTAATATATGTTTACAAGATAAAATATCCCAATCCTTCTGTTAATTATTCTTGAGGAGCTAAAGGACATTATTATTAAGAAGTCAAAAACTGACCAAGCACCGAGTTCATTAGTGAAATTTTTTGTAGTGTTCTGTTTAACCTAATTGCTTTAGTATGTTACATGTAAGATGACACAAGATCCTTTTACAGATATGAGATAAAAGTAAGGGAACAGCAAGAGTCGTTACGAAATCAAAGGAAATCACAGGTATGCTCCTTCTTGTGCAGATGGTTGAAATACTAGTAAGATATTGATTGAATTTAATCTTATATGGTGTACTCTATACGGGAGTTAAAATTCTTTGCCTGCTATCTCCAATTACAGGTTGGTACAGGTGCACGAGCAGAAAAAATTCGGACATACAATTATAAGGTACTCTATGTTGCTGTCTCAATATATTTTAACATGCTACACATACTCATTAGTCTCTCCAATCCCCTTTTTAATGAATTTCTATACAATGTAATTTTATTCATGACACATTTTCCCTTTATAAAAAGTAAGTTGAACAGTGCTGATAACTTTTGTTAGAAAAATAAAAGGTGTGAGAAACGTGGTATAATAAATAATACATTATATTTTAATATCTTAGATAATCTTGTTCATCGAGTGAATTGAATAGGATTCAGCAAACTAGAATTATGTAGTTCTTGTCAGAACAGAAGTAGAATATAGCTTTGTATTATTGAATTTTCACTTTTTCTTAATGAAATTAATTTTGCTTATGCCAGTTTTTGACGCTTAAATTTTTCTTATCAGGACAACAGGGTTACTGACCACAGATTGAAGACAAACTATGAACTCACCTCTTTTCTAGATGGTGACATAGAAGATGCTGTTCAGGTATATTACCCAACACATGGTGTGGACTTTTTCTTGTGTTTCCCAGTGTCTTGGCTGTGTGGAAAATATGACTAGAAAGTGGTGTATGTGCACTTTTTGAGGTGGCTTATACTTATTTAGGTATTAGAGGAATTATAGTGACTCACTTTCTAATATTGGTTAAAATTCATTTGAAACTACAAGAGGAGAATTCATTAAATTAAAAAGTTAGGACCCTTAAAATTTTATAATTTCAATAGATTTGAACTAATAGTAGAAAGTGTATTCAGAAGTTTGACAGAGAGTATGTTATTAGTATTCCTCTTCTTGGTTGAGGCAGGTTTGTAGTAAGATAAAATGAGTCTGGTAAGTAAGGACTTGCAACAAGAAATTTTGAAGGGCTAGAGACCCCAAAATCATTGAAACTCTTGCATTGCATTTGATAGAGTGGGGTCTTGGAGAAGGATATAAGGATATGGCTGGATGCTGAATGCTGTTGAACGACATTGGTTCTCTGACCTTAATTCACACAATCATGTTACCCAAAAAAAATCTTGTTTCTTCAATGATACCTTAAAACACTGCAAGGGTGAAGAATGGGAACTGCATTAGAAGAACACAGGGACCGTACCACAGGCTTGCACTCTGCTTTGGCTTTTGAAAGAAAGAAGAAACGGTAAGATATAATTGACAAACCGCAGAGAAGGATAAACAGTAGACTGCTCAAAAGTTGCGCTGTTTACGGACATTAAAAAGATATACTACACTACACACTTTGCCATTGATGAGTTAATATGATTAAATGAAAAAAATTTCTTTGCATATATCAGGGCTCTGCTTTATTTAAAAGTTTTCTTCTTGCAGTCCTGCGCCACAATGGAACAAAAGGAACTTCTGGAAGAACTTGCTGAATCTGTTGGTGCTACTGCTGCCTGATATGCAGTAGATTTTTGCCCAAGTTATTTGAAAAATTTTACTGGATTACTTTTCACAATGGAAGATCTGTCCTATTGTTCTTTTTAATATGTCCATCATTAATGTGTAGTAAATACGGAGCACTTTTACATGTAATATTTATTATATAGTTTTCTTAAGGATATTTCATTATATCGTTATGAGTAAAAAATCGGTTTCACAATGTAATATGGTGCGGTTAACTTTTGCATTATGTGCTCGCTGCATTGTATGTGGTGTTGAACCAGGAGTTCGGATCCTATCTCCCTGGTAAGGCTTGAAACTTGGAAGCCAACCAAAATACACCTCTTCTCTTCCATCAGGCTTTAGCTGCCTTGAAAAGCAACACGATTTCTTGCAGTTCTATTTCCGACCAAAACAAGGAAATAGAGTTAATTCTGGCCAAAGCTTCGTCGCTATCTAAGGTTCACGAGGGTCGTTCAGATGTTGGTTAATCACTACTTGAAATCAATAGTGTTTTTTTTTTTTTTTCGAATAACGTCTATTTTATTGTTAGTGAAAAAAATTATAAGAGCTTATTTGGTTAAATTAGGCATTCCCGTGTTACAAATTTTAATTGTTCCAGGACTTGTTGCTTCAAGTGCTCGTGAAATTTGGATTAACCATAGGATATTGATTTTTAATAATACAGTGTATTAAAATTAAACCCATTGAAAGTTAAATTTAAATTCTACTTTATTGTGGTTGTAATCTTCTAGATCACTTTTGTTTTTATAAATTAAAATAGTAATATGTTAACAATAAAAGTTTCTTAAACTTTTGAAGTGTTTTATTGGATGGAGTCGGTGAAACTAGGTCACAAATTAAAAGATAATATATGAATTTTTTACAATAAAAAAGGTTAATTTAGGGACTTTCAACCATAATATTAATATTGAGTAGATTGGGTTTCTCAAAACTACTTTTGAAAGTCGAGATTTCTTTTACGAGATAGAATTCTATCTATCTACTGCAATTCGAATGGCGGTATCATCTATATACCTACTGCTCTTTGAATGGATTCCGATTTTATTTATAATCGCCAAACATGTGGACTAAAAAAAAAGCAGGTCCTAGCGTTGATAGGGGAAGGGCAACACATGGCAACTCACCTCCTCATAGTGCCTCTCCAACATGCAAATTCCATTTCTCAGCGAGGCAAATAGTCACGTACACCTCCCCAGTGTTTCTCATTCCATTACTTTTATTCTCCGTAAAATTCACTCTCACTCTCCATAATTTTCTATGCTTCACCGCATCACCCACTCCTCTTCCCCCTCTCTTCTTCTTCTTCCGCGTCTTCTCTCTCACCAACCCTTCCCTTCTTCAAATTTCAAATTCCCTTTCTCACTCTCACCAAAACCTCTCACTCTCAAGGTCCTCTCCATGGCTTCATCTCATTCCATCCACAAGCACACAAACCGACTCGCTTCCGAACAGAGCCCTTACCTTCTCCAACACGCGCACAACCCTGTAGGTTATCACCATTCTTATTTCGTTCCTTACTTAATTGCTTCCTTTCCACTATTAATTAATTAATTACTTTATTGTAATTCCCATTCAAGGTTGATTGGTATCCGTGGGGCGAAGAAGCCTTCGCTGAAGCGCGCAGGCGTGACGCGCCTATCTTCTTGTCAAGTATTTCTCTCCTTTTGTGTATTCTGTTTTTCCTTTTGCCAATATCGTCTGCGTAATTGACTGCGAAGCTTTGCCTTTGGTGTTGTTGACGGCAATTCTGTTTGAAGTTGGCTACAGCACTTGTCACTGGTATGTATGTATCTCTGACTCACGACTCCTATTCTTTATCTCGAGTTTGAACGTTTTTCGAATCTGAAGTGTTTGCTTGTAAGGTGTCATGTTATGGAGGTCGAGTCTTTCGAGGACGAAGCGGTTGCCAAGTTGTTGAACGATTGGTTTGTTAGCATTAAGGTCATCTAGTTTTTCCTTTTATTTTACTTTGAACTTGACAGGTTCTCTCTGTTTTTAGCATACATTGCTTCAGAAGTTATGTTTTGTTCTGTCTGACGTTAATGTGTAATACTGCAGGTGGATCGAGAGGAACGACCAGATGTTGATAAGGTATATAATATTGATATATTGACTTTTCATTTAATTTATATATTTGGAAGCAAGTCAGCTAAGAGTACCTACTACGAGGATATTATGTTCAAAATTGTTCTATTTTAAGGAACAAAAAATGGTGCTTGTGAATTATCCAAAGTTCCTTTTGGAATTTGAATGGTTGAGATGCTGTTGGAAAATTTGAGGTTTTCTGCAGGTAACAAGGCATTTGGAATTTGAATGGTTGAGATGCTGTTGGAAAATTTCAGGTTTTCTGCAGGTAACAAGGCATACTAAAGTATTTTTTCTTCTTCTTTAGGTATACATGACGTATGTGCAGGCTTTGTATGGGGGAGGAGGTTGGCCTCTGAGCGTGTTTCTTTCACCAGACTTGAAGCCTTTGATGGGTGGAACTTACTTCCCCCCGGATGATAAGTATGGACGACCTGGATTTAAGACTATACTTAGGTGAGAGTTATTGAAAATGTTAACATGAATTGTCAACCTGCTTGGGCACTTCTCTGACTAAATTTGGTGGATGACATGTCAGAATATTTTTAGTATAAAGATTAGGGTCTATTGTTCAAAATGTGTATTCTGGCTCTGGAGGTTCTTAGTTATATACTCTTTTGTTCCCTGTTTTCTCCAGAAAGGTAAAACAGGCTTGGGACAGTAAGAGGGATATGCTGATTAAGAGTGCAGCATATGCTATTGAACAGCTTTCTGAGGCAATGTCTGCTAGTTCAGATTCTGATAAACTGCCCGATGGGGTTCCGGCTGATGCATTACGTCTGTGCTCAGAGCAGGTGAGGGTTTTAGCATTTGTTTCCATATAGTCTTTCTGTCCTCTGTGTTTTCAATTTCTGTACACGAGAAGGGGGGAAATTATTAAAGCATAGCAATCTTGTTTTCTCACTTATAAGGAATGAGTTTGAAGCTGATAGCAAGCAGAATAGTAAGATTTTTATGTTGTAACATAGATCAAAGATATCCCTCTCTTTTTTTATTTATAATGTGAAAATGCTCTTATCTGCTTGCAGTTGTTGGACATCTTTTGAATCCGTAGTTTATGTTAAGAATATGAATGCAGTTGTTGGGTATGTTGTTTTGAATCCTAAATTTATATTGTGTTTCAAATGTTACTTATCATTCAATCAACACTTTTTGTAGCTCTCGGGGAGCTACGATTCAAAGTTTGGTGGGTTTGGATCTGCACCAAAGTTTCCCAGACCAGTTGAGATAAACTTGATGCTTTATCATTCCAAAAAGTTGGAGGAGACAGGAAATTTGGGTGGAGCTAATGGAAGTCAGAAAATGGTTTTCTTTAGCTTGCAATGCATGGCAAAAGGTGGGATTCATGATCATATTGGAGGGGGCTTTCACAGATACAGCGTAGATGAGTGCTGGCACGGTAAATTTACCCTGGACTTTCAGTAAATACTTGATATATATATGTGTATGAGCAGTAATTCTCAATTTGAAATTCCCCTGCAATTTGATTTGGTCATGTCAATTAGGATGTGCTGTTATATCCAATACTCCTTGTTTTGAAATCTTATGATTATATTGTTGAGCTGTTATATCTTTGCAGTTCCACATTTTGAGAAGATGCTATATGATCAAGGGCAGCTTGCCAATGTATATTTAGATGCGTTTTCTATCACTAAAGATACCTTCTATTCATATATATCACGGGATATCCTCGATTATTTAAGGAGAGATATGATTGGTCCAGAGGGTCAAATCTTTTCAGCAGAGGATGCTGACAGTGCAGAGACAGAAGGAGCTGCAAGAAAAAAGGAAGGAGCCTTTTACATATGGGCAAGCAAAGAGGTCTTTCATCCCTGTCCTATGACTTTCCTTGATATATTTATTTAGGAATAATTACATTGTAGGTTCCTAAAAAATATACAAGTCTTCATTTTGGTCCCCCCAAAATAAATTGGTTCAATCAACTCATTACAAAATTTATATGTTTTAGTAGGGTCCATTTAGGAACCAGAATTCAAATCCAGAAAACTGATGGTATTAATCACCAATTAAATCCATCTCAAGGAGAAGTTACGTCCACAAGAAGTCCAGAGCAGTGCACTCCTCAGAGAAGGATGCTTTTGTCCACGATCACATCTAAAGAGTAATAATCATAGCCAACTATCCTCTTACCACTCACCCCAATATCCCCTTCCTATCTTGGAATCTATGCCTTGCATAACTAATTAATTCTCCCAAATTGACAAACACTAAACTTTGGGGCCCACTTTTTGCTTTCTCTCATACCTTCCAAATCATTGCCCTCTTTTGGTCCAAAGTCAGCATCTGGTCTTCCAAAACCATTCAGACCTATCTGGGCTCGGCTGACAGAAAATGACTTGACTTGGCACAATAACCCCACTGCTATGGCAATCAATTGAAAATCTTTAAGGATTTAATTTAATCAATTTATTTATCTTGTTTAAATTAACGACTGTATTTTTCAAGACCACAATTGTGTTGTTTAGTCTATTTTTTAATCATTAACTTATAATTTACTAAAGACAATCTAAACCGAACTACAGTATTTTTTCAAAGTTGATCTGGAAGTATTTGCTTAAACTTGTGAGCTATGGTATTCCTTTAAATTTTGGCATATATTTTCTTTCATTCTATTCATTGTTTGGTTCTCCTTGATATTTATTGCACACTGGATGATAATTTTTTGTTGTTTTGATTCTTGTAGATCTCTATATTGTACATCCAAATAATATTTCTAGTTGAAAATAATTAGATATCAGATATTAAATAAAAACTGTGGTTTAAGCTTTTCACGAAGAATCTCTAGCATGTGGTAGTGTATCATATTGACCTGATTTCTTCTATAATTCTGCGATTCTATCCACAGTGTATTGACATATTTTCATAGAATTGTTGTAATGAATGATTGGTTGGTGTATTGTTTTTAAATGTGACTTTCAACCTGGTTTGTTCTATCTAGGTTCAAGACATACTTGGAGTGCATGCTCCTCTTTTTGAGGAACACTATTACATAAAGCAATCGGGTAACTGTGACCTATCTGAAATGAGTGATCCTCACAACGAATTCAAAGGAAAGAATGTCCTAATTGAGAAAAAGGAACCTTCAGAACTGGCATCAAAATATGGTATGTCAGTTGAGACATATCAAGAAATTCTTGGAGGATGTAGGCTTAAGTTGTTTGAAGCTAGGTCAAGGCGTCCAAAGCCAAATTTGGATGACAAGGTATTTCCTTGAATAATCTTATAAAACAAGGTATTGTTTTATACTTCAACTTTTATGCGTACTCTAAATGGTTCTTATGCTCCTAGGTTATTGTATCTTGGAATGGATTGGCAATCTCATCTTTTGCTAGGGCTTCTAAGATTCTCAAGAGCGAAGCTGAAGGGACCAAATTCTACTTTCCTGTTGTCGGTACGGAAGTAAGTATAGCATTGTGAATGACTACCAATATTTAAAAGGATGAGAAACACTCATATTTAATATTATGATGTTTCTGGAAGATATGTGTAAGTTATCACCATAGATATGATATACAATTCTATACAGTTTCTCACTATTATTGCTTTGGATAATGAGTAGTTTGAGTTAGAGGACATTGACTCTTTAAGTTATGAAGGAATAGTGGGTGAAGTTGTTGGAGGAACACATTTAATGTAGCCAACTTGATTCTTTCCTTTGTTTTTAACTTTCTCCTCCTTTTGATTGTGTTTATTTCAGCCAAAGGAGTACATGAGAATTGCAGAAAAAGCAGCATTTTTTATTAGGAAGGAACTTTATGATGTGGAGACTCGCAAGCTATACCATAGTTTCAGACGTTCTCCATCTAAAGCTCCTGGTTTCTTGGATGATTATGCTTTTCTGATTTCAGGATTGCTAGATCTCTATGAGTTTGGTGGTGGAATTAGCTGGCTTCTATGGGCCATTGAATTGCAGGAAACCCAGGTAAATATTGATTGTCTGGACTTCATATTTTATTTTTTGTATGCCATGCATTGAATTACTAATGATATTAGTTGCTTGCAGGATACTTTGTTTCTTGATAAGGCCGGAGGTGGATATTTCAATAATACAGGAGAAGATCCTTCAGTTCTCCTCCGCGTGAAAGAAGATCATGATGGGGCAGAACCGTCTGGAAACTCAGTTTCTGCTATAAATCTTATAAGATTGGCTTCCATGGTTTCTGGAAGTAAGGCTGAGAACTATAAGCGAAATGCAGAACATCTATTGGTCCGTAAACCCCTTGCCCCTCTCCTCCTAAAAACTGTTCCTTCTCATATATATGACAATATTGGGATGGGATTATTTGAGGTATGTTTCCAGATCACTGGGTTAGTTGCAATTGACTAGAATTCTTTTCAATTCGTAATGCAGGCAGTTTTTGAGAAAAGATTGAAAGATATGGCTATGGCAGTGCCTCTAATGTGTTGTGCAGCAGACATGTTGCGTGTTCCTTCTCGGAAACAAGTGGTCGTGGTTGGTAGAAGAACGTCTGAGGAATTTGAAAACATGCTTGCTGCAGCTCATGCATTATATGATCCTAATAGAACAGTAAGCATGGTTACTCTTTATATCTTTCCATTTCATTCTAATCATCACAATAACATTAGTACTGGGGTTGATCGCAGGTTATTCATATAGATCCCAACAACAAAGAAGAGATGGAATTTTGGGAAGCAAGTAACAGCAATGTTGCTCTCATGGCGAAAAATAACTATGTCGTCAACAAGGTTGTAGCTCTTGTTTGCCAAAATTTCGCTTGTAGCCCCCCTGTGACTGATCGTTTGTCACTTGAAGCTTTGGTCTCCAAAAAACCTTCCTCTTCGTTAACATAAGCTATTGGTTGCGATTTAAGTAGGAAAATAGTTTATCCTCAATGAAAGCTCCCTTGGGATCCCCCTTTTCATCTGCAGAACTAGTTGGTTCTGACTTCTGTGACAAATAAAGGTTGGTAATATTCTAGTTGAGTTGAGGGATTGATGTATAGTTGCATACCCTTTTCGTTTGCCTGTTTCCTCAAGTTTGATACAGAATGATAGAAGTTTGTATATGTAGTCAAGGGATGAAATAATTATTGAAAGTTGGGGTCTGTTCGCATTTGTTTGTACTTCCTTTTTCTCATTAATGTGCTATTAAGTCACAAATATCACGGCTAAATCCTTCATGTCTTTTGGTTCGTTTCATATGTTGTGAAAGCTCAAACTTTTCCAATTTGAGATATTACTTGTTCTGTGCGATTGAATGTGTATTAATTTGGTTCGATTCGAAGGAGGATTTTTCTTTTCTTAAATTTCAACCCTATGTATGAATCATTCAATTTAAATTAAAAAAATAAAAATCACCGACGAGATGCCGAAGGGGTGTTGCTCTCTTAATGGGTGGTCGTCAGGAAAATTTAGAATACCAAAAAGATAAGATCATTTAAAACTATTTAACTATGCGAAACCTAAATATAAATAAAGATAAAAATATAGATATGATATTGATATAACATAATAAAATAAAGAATAAACTTAAGTGTTGATTATATTATTATTTTTCTTAAAAGATTAAAGTTGAACAATGATCTAAACATATAGCTAAATTAATAAGGTGATAAGTAAAATACATAAAAAAGGTCTATTTGATATTTTAGTACTATGCATATAATTGATATAACTAAAGATACAAACCAAATTGAAATTACAAGTTATATAATGATATATTTACATACTTTTATTAAAAAATGTGCTAGAAGCATGAATCAAACATGTCAAATTAGGAGTTGATAAGATGAGACTATTAAAAGGAAAATGTTCCTTAAACCAAACATTACAATTAAAATTTTGAAACAAATTCAGCTCACAACAAAGATTCCCATACCGAGCGTAAATTCCTAAAAGACGTGATAGAACTCCAGATCTCCTCATTCTCCAGCCTTGCTCCTATGCTTATCTAATTCGTAATAAACACATTTTACTAATTAATGCAAAGAAAAAAACCAGCATCAATTGATATTAAATATAAAATTATATCATGAGCAGTTTCAGAAAGAAATATACAAAATAAACTACCTCAGTATTTTGAGGGAAGGAGGCACCAAATTTAGCATGGATAAAAGTTACAGAAAATACAGAGCTTAATGCGCGCGACAAGGGGGTCGTGGAATTTATGAAAAAACAAAACACTTGCCGAAACCCTATGACAGTGACGTCCTCAGTTTCAATCATAGGGATCTTCTATTTTATAATATTGTCGAGCCATTGGTCACAATTCTGAACTAATTGCTCGCCTCATTCTTCCTAGTGTTTCCAGTCTGAGTCCAACATGTGCTGCCATCTTGGCGAATTCATTTTGGGCCACCCGAGCAGACAAAGATAGTGCCTTCTAGGAATCATGATTGATTCTTGTACAACATATTTTGACAATTCATCATAGACCGTCAACATTCGTTGGCCATTCCCACAAAATCAAAGATTTTGTTGCGAAAGGGTTTAAAACACAGATAGATTTCTTTTAACCGTAACATACGTTATAATAAATTATAACATCCAAAATTTCCTATTATAATAAACAGGATAAGTGGGTAAATAAAAAATAATATTTCCACCTATAAATATTATATTGATGACTACGAATAAAATGAAATTCAGAACAGACCATGACCCCCCCCCCCCGCCCCCTTAACTTGTGTTTCTAAAAGTGACGATGAGCTTTAACCTTGAGTAGTTCTAATCAAGGGTTTATATACTGTGGCTAGAAAACACTGGTACAGGTAAAATGATGATTCGCAAAACTTTTGAAACACTAGTTTCTAATTAACTTGAATAATCTTCCAAATATACTTAATGTCTACAGATATGGATTTCAGGTTTAATTCTAATTTAAACTTTATTTTTTTTAACGAAATACAGATGAATTAATGAACCAAAACAAAAGGAGATGATTATCTGTTATTGGAATGAAGAGAAATTAAAAACGAAAGAAATTGTGAACCTACAAAACATTTTTCAAATAACACACTAAGAAAATATTCAAATAATTCAACATTAATATTTTTCCCTCACTTTTTTTCCCAACTAAAGGAAACAAATTGATCAGTTTCTTAGACTCATTTTTCTAAGTACAATGCAACCAGATATTAGTATCGATCTACCGTATACGTACTCAACAGTCGTTCGGAAGCGAATAGAATGATATGAAGCATTTTCCATAACTAGGTGAATCTTAATACCGAAAACAGTAAACACCAACAGAATATATAATTTAAAGTATGCGAGATAAAGTTTTCGTACATGCAAAACTTACAAAGTCTAAAACCAACAAAAAGTATTCATCATAGCTACTTTCGAAGACTAAAAATTGTGCCAGGCGCCGTTAAAGATTCATCGTAATCACTCACTTCTTGGATTTCTTTGGCGCTCTGAAGAAAACATATATCACAATTAGGCCACAGTATATATGAACAACCAAAACTATGAATATGACATAACAAGCCTAAACAGTAAGACTCACTGGGCAGCTTGGGGTGCTGGTGCACTGGCTGCTGCTGTAGGTGCCTTATCAACGGGACCCTAAACATTTAACAAGGGAAAAACAAGTGTCAGAATCTTCATTACCAACTTCGGTGAAAATACTTGGTGCAGTAAAACCCCAATTTTTTCATAAAATATACAAGTAAATATATTCCAAGACATTGGAACTCACTTGGGCTAAACGCTCCTCCCTCCGAGCAATTTTCCTTTCCCTGCTAGCCTTGTTCTTTGCACGCTTAGCCTCAAACTGATCAGACAAAGTCTTCTCTCTTGCCTTCTCAGCCTTGGACTTGTGAATGCTCTCCATTAAGACCCTCTTGTTTTTGAAAACATTACCTTTCACCTTCATGTACATATCATGGTACATGTGTTTGTCAATTTTCTTTGATTCCCTGTACTTCCGAAGCAACCGTCTGAGAACACGCATCCTTCTCATCCAAAGTATCTTCGTGGGAAGCCTTGCCTCTCTTGTACCCTTACGCTTACCTAATTGTATTTAGATAAAACACTTTATAGTAAGCAACTGAAATTCTTCACCCCTCCCCCTCTCCAAACGACAATGGAATAAATCAGTCCATTCCACCCACAAATATTTATCATAAAATAATTGTCTGATTTTGTTTCAAACTATTAAGCAAAATCGTTACAATATTCCTTGAATTAAGAAGCAACTAAGCAAAATCCTGTCAGTTTGAATTAAGAACATAATCACAGGTATGCAATAACTCTCCAAACATACTGGAATTTTATTTTGTTTATGATAACTAAACAATAAACACTTTTAAAAAAATTGCTTCACATACAAGTTAAAATTTGTTGATGTGTAAATTAAAATAAGTTTATAAAAAGCTTAATCGGATTAATTTATAAGTAAACAAATTTCAATTCCGGCGAAAAGTTTAATTCATCCTATCTTCTAGTTTCCTTCTCCTAGATGTACTTATTGAGAAGGTACATCCAAACTCTTCTGTTATTTTTTCTACATTAACCAAGGTATCGGGAAAAAAATACCATATCCGGAGTGACGACCCTTCCTCTTAGCTTCCTTCATCCTACGAGCACGTGATCGGGAGTGAATCTTGGTTGGCTTCCTGATGATGAACCCATCCTTAACCAACTTCCTGATGTTTTGCCCTGCAAAGTGAAACTTACCATCTTAAGTAAAAAGTGTGTTTCATATTACATAACATTCGAATCATAGCACACAATAACACAACTTATAAGGAGCTACAAAAAAAATCTTAGCAAATGCTCACACGTACAAAACCCCTGCACACAGCACATAGCGTTTCAATATTCCACGTAAGAGTAGTTCGAACACGATTACAAATTAGACAAAACAAAATAAAATTGCATATAATCCACTGTTACGACAAATATGATATTGCAAACAATAATAAAATTCGGATCCAATACAAGTTCTCGATCCTCAACACATAACTGATAAATGAAGCAAATATATATAATACTGATAAAGAAAAAAGAGTGAGAGTAGTTACGAGAATTGGCCATGGAGATTTCGTTGACTTCATTGGGGTCAAGCCAAACCTTTCCTCTTCCGCACTTGAGCACGCTTGCTGCAAGCCGCTTCTGCAGTTTCAGCGAAACCATGTTTCCCCTTTTCTCTAAGACGACGCTGGAACGGAGAGAAAGAAACCCTAGTTTAGTTCCTCTTATGTATTACATATAAAGCCCAAATTATCAAGATTGGGCTGGGCCTAAACTAGACCATTTGCTGTTTGTGCATCGTCATCTAGGCCCAGCATTTTCGCCAACTATCACTTTTTTCTAATTTTATTTTTTAAGTACGTTATTTTATTTGTAGTTGTACATGTAATGTTTATCAGTTTTCTCTATTATCTAATTCAAGATTTTGGTTTAACACATTTTGTAATTTAGAGAAACTAAAGACCGGTAAGTTCGTTAAAAAATTAGTTATTTCATAAAAAAAATTAACTATATAAATAAATTTTGTGAGAATTTCTTTATTTAAAATTTTAATTTTTAAAACTTGTACATAACTTAGTTTTAGCTTACAAAAAGAAAATTTGTTTTATTTTCTTTCTTTTTTTGTTTTTTCTTAACTCAATTTGTTTCCTAAAACATTTCATTGCGTCACAATCACTTCTTAATCGTATTATTGTTGTTTCTTATATTTTTGTAATATATTTAGGTATTTTGTTGTTGCACTTTTTTTTCTGAAAAAAACTACTTCAAATTAATATTAGAAATGAATTAAAATTCATGTTTTGGTTACCTTCAATAATTCAAAGTTAATTTTTTAAAATTAGTTACAGTATAAACAAGAGACTATCCCAGGATGAAGTAGAATGGAGCTAGAAGAAGGTTCTGATTGAAAATGGTGGAAAGAAGAAGAAAGCCTCTGATACTGTGTTCCACTAAACATGTCATCAATTCCACTGTTCCAACCACCAATCTCTTCAACCATGATTCTTCTCCCTCCTTCTTCCGTTTTCCCGTTGGAATCCTCCGATTCTCCAACGTCACAAATCCCTCTCTTGACCACTCTTCCCTCCTCGCCCTCTCCACCCCTCTTCTTAAAACCCTCTCCATCACTGCAGGCTCACCGGTAACTCAAACCCCTTTAACTCAATTTCCATTTCTTCCACGTTTAGATTATTAATTTTCAACTGTTATCAGGTTCTTGTCAAGAATGTTGACACAAACACACAGAAAATTGCAGTGGCTATTGCTCTTGATCCACCAGGCACCACCACTAATTCAGACTCTCCTTCTTCTTCTATTTCTTCTTCTCAAATAATGCTTCTTTTTCCTTCTTGTTATTTTCCTTTTAATGGTTCTGAGTTGGATGATCAAATAGCTTTTGTATCTCCTCTCTTAGCCTTTAACCTTAACTTGCACGTGACGTGCTTAAAATCCATTCTTCGCCACGGACAAGAGGCTTTGGCTTCTTATTTCGAACCTCAAGGTAAAAGGGGTGATGAGAACGCTGCTAAACGCACCGTGGATTCTGTCATCAACGTGGAATTGGAACCACTTGCTCTGCCTCCAAAATTTGCCTCTCTTCTGAGGGTTTCTTTTGTGAAGATACCAGAATGTGGCATCCTTGAATCCATTAGAGCAAGTTCACCTTTTGAGTCACAAGAGCGGCAAGACATGATCGACTTAGCATTGCGAAAGTACTTTGAAGTCGATAGATACTTGTCCAAGGGAGATGTTTTTGGGATTAACATAAGTTGGAACTGCAATTCCCCCATTTGCGTTCCTTGTAATCAAAGATCATTAAATAAAAATGACAATCTTATCTGTTTCAAGGTACTGCGAACACTCTCTTGCTTTTGTTAAACCTCGAGAAACATGTCAAGTTGGTTGCTAGAGTGTAACTTATGTCTTCAGGTTGTTGGTATGGAACCATCAGATGAACCGGTTTTTCGTGTCAATAGCACCTTAACTGCTCTTGTGCTGGTAGGGAGTTCTCCATCCGCACTCCCTCCAGATTTGTTAATTGGTGGACCTGAAGGACCTGTGCCTTTGCGAGGGGACACTGTGAACATATTGGCTTCCATACTTACACCAACTTTCTGTCCATCAGTTCTTTCTTCCAAGTTTAGAGTTTCTGTACTATTGTATGGCTTGGCAGGTATCTTCTATATTGTGCTGCTTTGTCTTGTTGTAAAGGAATCAATATTTCTCATTCATTCTTAAATTTATTTTGTGATTTGGATCATCATTTGACATCCTCAATTGTTGTTCATTTAAAATATCAACTAAATGGTAGTTTTGGAATGCATTGGTGGTACATGTTGTTTTTCCTGAATAACGTGATTATGCAGGTTGTGGGAAGAGGACTGTTGTTAGATATGTTGCTAGTCGACTTGGCCTGCATGTGGTGGAATATAACTGTCACGATCTTATGGTATCTGAAAGAACATCTGTTGCTCTAGCACAAGCTTTCAAGACGGCTCGAAGGTTATATTTTGACTACTAGTAATGATAAGAAGATATATTGAGCCAGAAACTTTGTTCCTGCATATTTTTTGTTTTGGTGTTGGTTAAAAAATGCATGCTTTGCTATAGAGACAGGAAGATATGGTTCCATTAATTCATTCACCTTACTTTTTCCTTATTTGAGGTTCTTCTCCCCACCTAACGGTTATTAGATTTGGCTTTCCTTTGGCCTGTACCTTATCACCAATCATGTCAGGCTCTAAGAAATTTAATGTTTTGGACATGATTTCTCTCTTAGCTTCTAGTCTGGACTTACAGGATGATATTTTTACAGATACTCACCAGCAATTCTTCTTCTTCGTCATTTTGATGTTTTTCGAGAATCTCAATCGCCCGAGAGTTCACCACAAGACCAAAGAGGGAATACATCTGAAGCTGCATCTGTTATTAGGAAATTCACTGAGCCAGTCAGTGAACATGATGATAGTAATTCCCTGGGGAAATCACACGTTGAATCTGTAAGATCTAACTTGATCGAAGTTTGCTATTGCTATCATTGTTCTTAGGACTTCAACCTTTTCTGTTAATCAATTTTCCTGCACATGGCATATATTTTGTCTTATATTGCCATCTAAATCAAGTTAACATCAAAAGAAATGGAGAAATGATCACTTTTTTTTCCAGCTCTCTTACAGAGCTTGAGACAAAAAAGGCAATGATTTCCTAAAAAATAAGTGATACCAAATATGGTTTTGACAATTATTAAGCAATGATGACTGTCTCTGTAATAGAAAAGAAAATGTGATAACAAGGAATTAGCTTGCTGGAGATACAAGCTTACAAAATTGACAGTTTCACAGAGGAGAAAAAGTAGTAGCAAGGGACATGCAATATACTTTGACCAGAATAAAAACTCATCATGCATAACAATTTGCACTCAAACACTACCCCTCTAAGACCAGCATACATCTTTTATCAATCAACTGTAAAACTGAAAATCCAACGTAGGACCAGAAAGAACCTCAAAAACCAAAGTTGTCTTTTATTTTCAACTAGAGTCTAGAATTGCAAAGATATTTACTTTTACTGCATGTTGGTGAAGGTGGAGAAGAATGTTGAAAAGGCAAGTGGGCATCAGGTCCTATTGATAGCTGCTGCTGACAGTTCAGAAGGTCTGCCTTCAACTATCAGACGCAGTTTTAGCCATGAAATAAGCATGGGGCCTTTGACTGAAGAGCAAAGAGCTGAAATGTTATTACAGTCATTGCAAAGTGTTTCTGAACTCCTCTCCAATGTAAGTGTGTTTTGAAATGAGCTTCTTATTGTGTTTGTGTCTACTTTTGAGTCCTTTTCTTTTGAACAAAACATAGATCAAGTTCCTTATATACATGTCATAAAGTTCGCAAGTCAAACAATGACATACGGGTGCTAATTTTGAATTTAAACAACATATATTAAGAATATAAATTGTCATTTCATTGTTTAATTTGATAGGTTGATGGAAAAGGTCTTATAGGAACTCAATATATGTTTTGTCATTTCTTGGGTTAATTAATTGAATAATAATGGAACCAGTGATGACATTTCTTTCTCTAAATTTCAAAACCCTGAAAAAAAAACTGTTATAAAACTAAGTTGTAAAAGAAAACAATATCAATAAAGAAGTTCCTTTTAAGTTGAGAGTGGGAGTAAGATGGTGTCATGTATTAATTTGGAATTCTGATTTCCTTCTCTCTTCTCAGCTGAAAATATTAAAGAAAGTAAAATCAGATATAAATATGCTTTGTATAATAACATAGATGATACATGCAAATTCATTCAAATTATTAAGAAAGGCTACAATTTGTGCTCCTGAATTCCTCATCAAGTCATTACCGTGGAGTGTTAACTTTGACTGGTTACATTGTTGCCTCTTGCAGACTGATTCAGAAGCTTTAGTAAAAGAAATAGTTGGACAGACATCTGGTTACATGCCCAGGGATATACGTGCTTTAATTGCTGATGCTGGTGCCAACTTATTTTCCAGAAATAAAGCTAAAGTAGACAAAGATGTATCTGATGATGTAGATAGTTCTTCTAATTCCAAGAAGGCAGAGGACGATAATCACAGGAAAGTTTCACATCAGATTCCTGGGAAAGAAGACTTGTTGAATGCTTTGGAGCGATCAAAGAAAAGAAATGCATCAGCATTGGGTACTCCAAAGGTAAATTTTGATCAGGCTTTTATGATGGTTTTCTTGTCTGCATTTAAGCAGAACGTTTACTGTTGTTTTGATGCCAACAAATGTATATATAGCAAAAAAGATGTGTTCTGGGAAAAAAGGGTTCCCCAATGCACAGAAATTTTGAAGTGTGGATATTTCTTTTGCAGGTTCCAAACGTGAAATGGGAAGATGTTGGTGGGCTAGAAGATGTCAAAAAATCAATTCTGGATACTGTTCAGGTGGGCTTCTTGTATGATATAACTATAGTGATTGTTACTTTCCCCCTATTTGAAAGTACATTTTCACTCTTTTATAGTCAATTCGAATAAATTTCTCAAAAAGAACCTATAGAAGGAGTAAGGTGGTAAAATGAATAAAACCTTGTTGAATATAGAGAAAATATGGTTTGGAATTAATTTCCCTTGTGTATAAATCACACATAGGGTAGTCTATTTATAGTAGAGATATACAACTAAAAGAGTAACTGAAAGTAACAGAATAAACAGAAGATATTATTTGATATTGTGGTTACCAATATCTAACAATATCTTAACAATATCAAATAATATATAAACAATATCTAACACTCCCCTCAAGCTGGAGCATACAAATCGTATGTGCCAAGCTTGTTACAAATATAATCAATTCTAGGACCCCGTAAAGATTTAGTAAAAATATCTGCTAACTGATCACTTGAGTTAACAAACTCAGCCTTGATATCTCCAGACATAATCTTTTCTCGAATAAAATGACAGATCAATCTCAATGTGTTTGGTCCTCTCATGAAAGACAGGATTAGAACTAATATGAAGAGCAACTTGATTGTCACACACAAGTGTCATTTGAGTGACATCTCCAAATTGTAACTCTCTAAGCAATTGCTTGAGCCAAACAAGTTCACAGGAAGCCGAGGCCATAGCTCTATATTCTCGCTTCTGCACCGGATCTTGCCACAACACTTTGTTTCTTACTTTTCCATGAAATCAAGTTACCACCAATGGAGACACAATATCCAGCATGTAGATCTTCTATCCGAAGGAGATCCTGCCCAATCAACATCTCGAGTAGCAAACAACTCTTGTATGGTTATTAGAAGCATATAACAATCCTTTTCCAGGAGATCCTTTAATATACTTCAAGATACGAATGACTCGCATTCCAATGATCTTCACATGGTGAATTAAGAAATTGACTTACCACACTGATCGCAAAGGAAATGTCGGGACGAGTAACTCGTAAGATAATTCAATTTTCCAACCAATCTTCTATACCGCTCAGGATCGATATAGGCTCCCCCGATTTGGTAGAAGTTTAGTATTGGGATCCATGGGTGTATCAACATACTTTGAACTCATCAACCCAGCTTCCTCCAAAATATCTATGGCATACTTCCTCCGAGATATAACAATACCATCATTGGACCGTGCTACCTCAATACCCAAGAAATATCTAAGTTTGCCAAGATCTTTGGTCTCGAAAATGGTGACAAAGATGTTGTTTCAACCGAGAGATGCCATGGTTGTCACTACCTGTAAGAACAATATCATCAACATATACTATCAAGTAAACACATCCAAGACTCGAGTGTCGATAAAAGACAGAATGATCCGATTCACACCGAGTCATACCAAATTGTTGAACAACCTTGCTAAACTTTCCAAACCAAGCCCTAGGAGACTGTTTTAGGCCATATAGGGATTTGCGAAGACGACATACCATCCCGGAAGACTCCCCCGAGCAACAAACCCAGGAGGTTGCTCCATATATATTTCTTCTTGCAAATCACCATTGAGGAAAGCATTTTTAACATCCAGCTTGATAAAGAGGTCATTGTTGAAGAGCGACCATGGCGATAAATAAACGAATGAAGCCATCTTTGCCACAGGGGAAAAGGTATCTCCATAATCCAACCCAAAAATTTGAGTATAACCTTTGGCCACAAGACGAGCTTTGAGGCGATCAATAGTACCATCGAGTCCAACTTTGATAGCAAACACCCACCTGCAACCAACAACAGATTTCCCAGACTGTAACGGGACCAATTCTCAAGTTCCACTATTATGAAGAGCACTTAGTTCATCTAACATGGCCTGACGCCAACCAGGATGGGCTAAAGCTTCACGTACGCTTTTGGAATGGTCACGGAAGAAATAGAGGAAAGACATGTATAAAAAGGTAATGACAATCGATGATAACTCAAAGCAATATAATGGGGAGAGGGATTACGTGTAGAACGAATACCTTTTCGGAGGGCAATGGGAAGGTCGGACTCATGTGTCAGATCCGGAGGAGACAGAGTAGTTGGCACTTGAGTAGAGTCACATGGTGGTGGTTGTGATTGGTTTCGAGAACTATAAATCCAAGAGGCAGTGGAGAAGAAGCTAATCATGGAGCAGGAACTAATGGTGAAGAAGACACAATTAGAGGGTCACAAACAACAAGAACATTAAATGTATTAGGAGTGTTGACAAGATTGGATGGAGACAGAGGTGAAGTTTGACTTTTAAAATAAAGAGACAACTCATCAAAGGTGACATCTTTTGACACAAAATAACGGTTAAGAGAAGGAGAAAAACATTTGTATCCTTTTTGTGATCTTGTAAACCCTAAGAAAACACATTTATGTGATCTAGGAGAAAGCTTGTCCAGACTAGTAACTAAAATTATGAACAAAACATGTAGACTCGAAAACTTTCGAGAGGTAAAGGATGAAGTGGTTCATGAGGGAATAAAATGGAATGAGGTATTTTATTATCTAAAACCGAAGAAGGCATGCGATTAATGAGATAACATGCAGTAAGAAGAGCATCACCCCAAAAATGTTGAGGAACATCTCCATGAATTAAAAGTGTGCGAGTTGTTTCAATAAGATGTCTATTTTTACGTTCAGCCTACACCATTTTGTTGAGGTGTATAAGCACAAGAAGTTTGATGCAAAATACCGTGAGAAGCCATGAATTGTTTAAAAGAATGAGAAAGATATTCACGGCCATTATCACTACGCAAAACTCTAATAGAAACACCGAACCGAGTTTGAATTTCATTAAAAAAAGTTTGAAAGATATGAAATAATTCGAACGATTTTTCATCAAAAATAACCAAGTGCATCCGGAATAATCATCAATGAAAGTAACAAAGTATTGAAAACCTAAAGTAGACTTAACGCGGCTAGGTCCCCAAATGTCAGAGTGAACCACGGCAAAAGGGGACGAAGCACCACGTGTGAAACTACGAGGAAAGGAAGTACGACTATGCTTGCCTAATTGACATGACTCACACGCCAAACTAGATAAGTTAGACAAGGCAGGGACAAGTTTCTGTAACTTGGCAAGACTTGGATGACCTAACTGAGCATGAAGAAGAGAGGGAGACTCCATAACTGTACTAACATGTGTAGAGGGACGGAGATAATAAAGACCATGAGACTCACATCCTGTGCCAATCACCTGTTTCGAACTCCGGTCCTGTAAACACACCGAATTGTTGGTAAAAGTAACAACACAATCAAGAGAACGAGTTAGACGACTGATGGACAACAGGTTAAAAGGAGACCCAGGGACATAAAGAACATTATCAATGGTTAAAGAAGGAAAAAGTTTAACCGTTCCAACACCATGAGATGATACTCTAGAGCCATCAGCCAAGTGTAACGTAAGGTAAATGATTAGGAGAGGATAAAGAGGAGAACAAAGATTTGTTACCAGTAATATGATCAGTGGCTCCTGAATCAAAAACCCAAGGACCAGGAGAAAATGATTGGGTCAGACCAACAAAATATGTATTTGTATGTGTGACAGATATAGTGGAACTAGAAGACTGTTGATCCTTATACCATTCGAGAAATTTGTTGAACATAGCAGACATGTCGGATGCAACAGAAGAAGGAAGATCCCCTACAGATAAAGGTGGGGAAAGATTGGTCTGAACAACTACAGCAGACTGAGGAGGACGACCATGTAATGTATAACACTTGTTAATCTTGTGACCTAGCTTGCCACAATGTTCACACTTAGGACGCCCTTTTTCCTGTTTGCGAGGGCGAGCCCGGTCATCACGATGGGATGTCAACACAAAAGAATCGTTAACAAAATTGGAAATAGTGGAAGAAGTCATGAAGAGCGGGAGAACAAACCCTGACCGAGACAAGCAAAATCATATGTCACCGGTAAAAAAAAATGAAACTCCGGCGAATTCTCCGACCGGCGGACCCGGAGACTGCTCCAGCGGCAGCGGTGACAGTAACGTGAACTAGTACACTAGGTAAGTTCCCAGGAAAGAGAGGTGGGTCACTAATGGACACACTTAAATACCAAGTCTTTCCTTGTCAGAACTTTCCTAAACATGCACTTTCACACTACCAAATAAAATTCAATGACAAAGATAATTCTTTTCTGATGTGGAGGATCAGTTTACCAGCAGCGGTGGGGCGGCTTTAGCAGCGGTGGGGAGGCTCTAGCAGCGGTGGGGCGGCTCCAACAGTGGACAAAAGGCGGAAAAAAAAAAATTCAAGAGAACCTTAAGCTCTAGATACCATGTTGAATATAGAGAAAATATGGTTTGGAATTAATTTCCCTTGTGTATAAATCACACATAGGGTAGTCTATTTATAGTAGAGATATACAACTAAAAGAGTAACTGAAAGTAACAGAATAAACAGAAGATATTGTTTGATATTGTGGTTACCAATATCTAACAATATCTTAACAATATCAAATAATATATAAACAATATCTAACAAACCTCTTCTACAAGTTAAAATCCGCTTGTTCACCTCAACTTTAAGTTCTCACGTCTAATTTCTTCAAAAATATAGATCCGTAAGTAGATTTTAGTTAATGAGAGTTGTATTCATGTTACCACCTTATTTTGTTGCCCTCCTATAAGTGTTTTCTGATTAGGTTATCTTCTTGCTAACTATATGGGAGACAATACCTGTCACAATAACTTGAAAAAATATTTGGCGTAAAAAGAAACTTCTGGTTATCTATGATCAACACTTCAGAAGATAAATTAGGTTGTTATATATCATATATTGGCTTAGTTAAATTACATTTTAATTTTAGGAGAGATATGAGAATAAAAATTAAAAAAGAAAGTGCTTTTGGAGAGTCAAAGTGTAAATTTGATAAGTTATCTTGTATGTTCAACTGGGAAGCTATCAAGACTTCTCACGAAAAGAGATTGAATAGGCTCTTTCTATTATCGTTGGAAGATATGCCGACTATTTTTATTGAATTCAAACAATATGTGCTTCTCTGTCCGTCACCTTTTTCCTTTTTCAGAAAATTCCTTACTTTTTTCGTCTTTATTTTAATACTTATCTCACAAAATCATGTTACCTGGGACGTACTGTTTATTTTCTGTAATTTCTGAATATCTGATTCATTCTCTATCTCATATTATAGTTACCTCTCCTGCATAAAGATCTATTTTCATCTGGATTACGCAAGCGATCTGGTGTTCTTTTGTATGGACCCCCTGGTACTGGCAAAGTAAGTTGTAATGTACTTGTAAATGGCAATGTTCTACCCTAGTCCTGTTCGTTTTAGTACAAAAGATTTCTAACGCCATTGTCTTGCTTTTTTTGTCTAATGACAGACATTATTAGCAAAAGCTGTTGCTACAGAATGTTCCTTAAATTTTCTTAGTGTGAAGGGTCCTGAACTGATCAACATGTACATTGGAGAGTCTGAAAAGAATGTTCGAGACATTTTCCAGAAGGTATAATAATATTTCGGGAGGGGAGGGGGGTTAGCTAAATAATTTCTCAAGTTGAATTTAGAGTAAGTATACTTTGTGTCTCATTACTGTGAACTAGACAGTTCTTGAACAGAATTTGATAAATTGAAGTTCATAATTCACAGGCCAGATCAGCACGTCCATGCGTCATCTTCTTTGATGAGCTTGATTCTCTTGCACCAGCTCGGGGTGCTTCTGGAGATTCTGGGGGTGTTATGGACAGAGTGGTTTCTCAGGTGATTTCCTATTCTGAGCAAGACCATGATGTTTGCTGTTTTCTTCCCTGGGTTACCTAACGTAATACATCCCTTCCCCTTGTTATTAGATGCTTGCAGAAATTGACGGCTTAAGTGATTCAACACAGGTTTTTTATCTGCTTGAATATTTATCTTTAGCAAATATATTATCCTATTTTTCTTCTAACAAGTGAGTCTCTGTCTTGGGCTTTTAATAGGATCTGTTTATTATAGGTGCAAGTAATAGACCAGATTTGATAGACCCAGCACTTCTGCGCCCTGGTCGATTTGATAAACTACTATATGTTGGAGTTAACTCTGATGCATCTTACAGGGAACGGTAATCAGTCCGCATTTCCACCTCTCTTTTCTTGTCAAATATCTATTGTTGACAACATGCTATTGTGCGCCTCTGATCCCATCTTTCCTAGGGTGCTGAAAGCTCTTACACGAAAGTTCAAATTGCATGAAGATGTCTCACTTTACTCCATTGCAAAAAAATGTCCACCAAACTTCACTGGTGCAGACATGTATGCGTTGTGTGCAGATGCTTGGTTCCATGCTGCAAAGCGTAAAGTAGGTTTGACCAGGAATACTGGACCTATTATTACATTGCATGAATTTTGTTTGATACTAGATCTGTTAAAGATTCTTAGATGATAGTGGAGTATCAATTTATAGAGGAAATTGCAGCCTGTATTTATTGACAAAAGCAATGCCAGCACTCATTTCAGAAACCTTAACATGTTCTACAAAACTATGCATACATTGTTACGTGACTAGATAGAAGGGTACTTAATCTCACTACTTTCTTCTAGGTTCTGAGTGCAAATCCAGAGTCTTCCACCAAAGATAATGAAGAAGATTTTGTTGTTGTTGAATACAATGACTTTATCCAGGTAACATTCTATTTCTGTTGATAAAATCTGTTTATCTGTGGTTGAAACTCATAACACTTGTACAGTTACCAACTTATCCATGAATTGTTTTCCCAGCAGTTTGTTGTATCTATCTATTTATGTGACTGCCATTATCTGGATTTTCAGGTCTTAGAAGAGCTGTCGCCTTCCCTCTCTATGACTGAGCTTAAGAAGTACGAGAAACTGAGAGATCAGTTTGAAGGCACCACTAAATGAGTTTTGTTACTGTATTGTTTCTGCTGCTGTTTTAGGAACTATAATGCAAATATACATCAAATATCTTTTTGTGGGGGTTGAAGGTGTGTGTGTATTACCTGTATATTAGTAATAGCCATAGGCTTTCAACCACGGACAAGGGATGCCCCCCATCTACCTAGGTCAGCATCTCACATACCTGTATAATTTTTTAAAATAATGATGATACATCATAGTTGTTTTAATTGAAAATTGAATTTTAAAATGTGTTCATAATTGAAAAAGATAAATTATACTGTCGTCTAGTCATAGATGAACTTGTATGTATCATGACTTTTGCAATAATTCTTTCAAAAGTTATATTTAGAGTGACTTTTATTTTGTTTTACAGCATCGTGATTTCTATTGGTTGATAGTGTAAGTATTTTCAAGCAAAAATAATAAATCAATCCCAATAATAATAATAATAATAAATCAGATGAGTTTTATGTGTTTCTTCTCTCTCTTACTTTCACTCTCCCTTGAATATTAGCAAGTATAATTTTTCCTGGTATTGTTAAATTTTACGATAAGGCTCCATATTGACCAGGATATTTAAACTCTTACCTAAACACTTTTAGGAAAGAAAAAAAAATCAATTTTTTGAGATAAAATTATCTTATGCGTAAGTTAAAATAAAAAATAAAAAGATTTTGAAGGAGCTAATATATATAATATCTTTTACGAGTGTATGGGATAATTTTAACTTTTTTTTCTTTTTTAAAAAATTAATGAGGTTTCTTCAAAAGAAAATCTAATTTTTCTAGTCTTATTTTCTTCGACAAATCTTGAACAAAGCACATAATCCTTCTTATTTTGTTTTATTGAAATAGTTAGAATTATTGTTAGTATTATTGAGTGCATGAAAAGGAATCTCTTCAATATATCAGTATAAAATTATGTTAACACTTGTGTACAAACCTATAAACAAAGAACTGTTTTAGAATTTTAGTAACTCAATTCAATTTACACAGTATTAGCAAAGTAGACAACTTAACCGTATTCATCATAACACTGGAAAACAAACTCAAAGTTACAAAGTAGCCAAAGAAAAAGAAGTGATGTTACAGGTAGCATTGTTTAATTTAGTTTAAGCAATTGCTCTTCTCCCCTAGTTTTGAAAGAGTAAGTGGTGGTATTGGATTGCCATTTACCAACCATGGTAGGGCAATAGTAGGGTGGCAGTGTGGAAAGGAGACAATGCCATGTCATGTCATGATGCTGCTCCTTCTTCTATTCCTTTCCATCTCACTCTCTCACAGTAAAACCCTTGGTTATGACTCATCCCCTTTCATTTTCTCATACATCATTTCACATTCTCATTCTCTTTTTCTTTTCCTGCTGCTCAACTCCTCATTTTTCTTCCCATTGCCATCTATACTTTCAGTCCCTAATGCCCCCATCTATCTTTTCTTTTCTTTTTTTTCTTTGTAATTTCTGCATTTTATTATTGAGAATAAAAGTTGCCGATGTTGTCATCTTCTTATTACAAATTTTACTTTTTTTTTTAATATTATTAAAGTCAATTTTACTATGAAAATATTTCTAAAGTGGTATTATATGACTAAAGGGTGAGTAGTTTTGTTCTAATTCTTATGGTCATTATTATTTAATAATAAGAGTATCTCAATTTCATATTTATTATTATAATATTATTAGAGTTAATTTTTATGTTTGAAATATTTTTATTTTAAAAATATAATTTATCATAATTTTTTCTTTAAAAACGCATCGATAGAAAAAAAGATATAAATTATTCTTAATTTTTACTTTAATTGACGTAAAACTTATAAATATGGTGAAAAAGTTTATATTAGATTTATAAAGTCATGAAATATTTAATTATTTAATTTTCAAATTTTAATAATTTTTTTTAGTTTATAAGTAATGTATATAGTTATGTTTATATTACTAACTTTTAACTATGTAGATGGGTTAAATATTTAAAATAATGTTGTACCATATCTACAATAATCTTATTAAACTTGAACATAATTTTTTAATAAAATATAATCATTATTGTTAAATAATAATAATAATAATAATAATAAAAAACTACATTACAGTATTGCTTGATGTTTTATTTTAAGCTGTACATATTAGAGATATTTTATTTGATGTAATATGCATACGTAATCCTAAACCAGTAATTAGTCGAATTGGCTCACATATTTAAATTCATGTTGACATCTTAAAAATAACTTAAAATTGGTAATTAAATAAACCTTTAAAAATAAAATTATTGATAGATTAATTTAATTATATATTATATTAGTCAATCGTAATTTTGATAACAAAATATTTTGTTGGACTAACATACACACGTGTGTAACTTTGGAAAGTATCAATATGCATAATTTTTTTACTAAATATTTTTTTTAAATAAAAGAAATAAAATTTAATGAAATTTTATATAAACTAAAACATGTTCAAACATCCAAAAATCAATTAATGTTCAACAATGAAAAACCCAAAAAACAATTAATCCTCCAAAATGAAAAGAGCAATATTTACATACTATTTTCGTATAAATTTATCATCATCAAAATTTTCAGAATAATGATGTGTGAATGTCTTTTCAATATTAAATAGTTTTATTAAAAATGTGTTTTACTTGTTTTACAATATTAAAAAGTATAAGTTTTATCTTTAAAAGTTAATATTTTTCTTCTCTTCGAAGCTGAAAACACAAAATAAAGTGTATGGAAAATTTTAATTAGAAATCTTTAGTCTCATTTATCATAAAACTCACTTGCCCCCGTGTGCCCATAAATCACAAACACAATGGATTGATTATACAAGAGATTTTGTTATTTATTTTATTAAAGGATAATATTTAGTTTATATATATATATATATATATATAATAATAATTTTATTCAAATCATTATCATACATTAAATAAAATAAATTTAAAATATTAATTATAATAATAATAATAATCATATAATAAATAAAATACTATTCATTTTAAAATTTCAGTACCTCTTAATTTTTTTAAAATATATTTTAATTAGTTAAAAAAATTATATAAATTATCTAAACATAAATTCTTAAACGAGAAAAATTCATGAACATGTGCATAACATATTCCTCTAATAATAAAAAAAATCTACTTTCAATCAACTATAAAATTTTATTTAGTAAATATAAACTAATTACTCTTTAAATATATATATATATATATATATATATATATATATATATACATAGTTAAAATCTTATTAACAATTTTCAAAAATAAGAAAAAAAATCCATTGAATAATATACATTTCTTAAAGTAGTTAATATAAGATAAGTTTTAAAAAATAATAATTTTCTCAAAACATTTCATAATTTTTTATAAAATATTATATCTATTTTTATAATCAATATTATAAATATTTATATTTTTATTATAATATTCATTTTTATAAAAGTATTTTATATTAAAATATGTGGATAACTGATGACATAAAATACATAAATATTTATCAACGATATGTGTCATCAATAATTATAAGTTTTTTTATTAATATATTTGTTAATAATTATCAATAATAACAGAATGCATAAATAGTCTATAAAAATCAATTCGTTGATAAACAAATAGAAAAATGTTTAACATGCTACCAAATCATTGTTGCAATAAAAGATTAGATAGAATAAAAATTATAGAATTTATTGTTTTGAATGCACGAGAAAAGTGTTAATAAATCTGTGATTGATTTTAGAACATTTATATATATATATATAGTTGGGAATGACATGCACGTGTGACATTGCATTAGTATGGGTTTTGTTAACTGTTACATTATCCATTTATGACGAGGGTTTACTCCATTGGATGGCATATTCTCATGGCAATGTATATTCCTATGCAATTCAATGGAATGATGGATATGGTTTCCATTGCTTTCAACTCAAGGGACCCAACAATTCACAAAACCCTAATAAATCACTTCTCCACTCACCTCAAATATTCTTCTTCCCTTTTCTTCTTCTTTTGGTCAATGCAGGTAACATCTTCACCCTTATCAGATGCTACAATTTTACTCTGATTCAACATAATTATTATAAACCACAACAAATTTTCCCAACACATTTAATGCAGCTATCTGTTTAGAATTCATTCAAAAATATTGATTAGGTTAAAACAATTTCAAACCAATTAATTAATCCGAAAGAGGGTGAGAATCAATTAAATAGCAATAAATGACATGATATGACATAACACAAAATGTGAAATAAAATTATAGTTTTTTTCATGGTAAGAGTGTAAATGAAATGTTGGGGATTTGATATATTACTCTCCAATTTTCATGTTTTATTAAAAATGACTCCAATTTTTTGTCAATTCCTTGTGAAATGTGATTTCATTAAATAAGGTAAAAAATCACTCTTAAGAAGCATCTCTGGTCAAACTTTTTCTTTTGGTTTGAAAATCTACTTTAATTTAAACATGAAACTATGGGCTCTAAATTTATAGTCAAAGTCATGTGACAACATCATTTTTGCTTTTTCTATTAAAAAACAAGTTATATATAATTTGGAAATATCCATAAATTGAAGAAAAGAAAATTACTGAAGCAGTTTTAGCACCTATGAATGATGAACAGAGAATCTCCACCATTGAGATTTGCATGAGGCTCTGCAACCAATGAGCTTTCATGAATGTTTCTTTAATGAAGTTGAGATATTATTTTATTGTTTATAATATTATTGAACACCAGCAACTGGCATGGACAACTTTCAGTGCCCAAGTGCTGGCATGCTTGACAGCTTGAGTGTTTGGGAATTTCAAAGGAATCACACCTAAGACAATTTAAACCAATTAGAAATAAATAAAAAACTAATTAACTAAATCCAAATCAATTTAAAATTGTTTTAATTTATTTTATTTATCTATTCACTAATTTTTCTTTCTTTATAGTTTTCACTTGCTTATAATTACGTATATTTTAAAATAAAAATAATAAATTTAAACAATATATTATAATAAAAAGAAAATATAAAAATATAAAAATTTTATTAACTTATAATAAAATAAAATAAAAAAGTTGAAACTTTCTAATTATGAAAATCAGGAAAAATAAAATAAAATTAAAGATTATCTTAAAATAGGATCACATCATTATTTTTTCTTACAAAGTTATAGAGAAAATTATAATAAAAAATCATAAATACAATATAAAAAAGAAAAACCAGTTAAAAAAAGTTATAAAAAGATAACAATTTATATTTCTTACTTTAGTATTAAAAAATTATATTTTTAAATTTTATTTATTTAAAAATACATGACGTTTTAGATTAAATTTATTAATTTTTATTATTTTTAATAAATTTATTATTTTTGTTATTATTTTTATATTTTGTATATGTAAATTTACTTTTAATAATTTATTATCCTCTATACATAAAATATAATTAATAAAAAATGACTAATACATTTTAAAATTAAAATAATACATATATTTACAGATAAATTATTTGTCATTAAAATCTTGTCTGTTTGAAAAAATAATTAATACTCCATGTTTTATTAGTTTATTTATTCAATTTCTTTATCTTAATAACTTATTACATCATATTTATTATTATATATGTTTTTCTGCATGTAAATTGAAAAAAAAAAAGAAGAAGTAATTAATACTCTTTAACGTGTGTATTAACGACATAGTTAGATAAATCGAAAATTGAAAACTAATCATTAACTTCTCCTACCAAGACTAAAGAATTTTACTTTATATTTATTATATAACTTTGATTAATTAATACTAATTTATGTTGAGATGAAATGAAACTATTTTTTCATATTACTTGAGAATTTTTCCAAAGCAGCAGCATATCCCTTCATAGGTTTTCCCCTTAAACTTAATTCAAGATTTTTTCAACAATGGAAAAACTTAAAGAGTTAGTTAGTTTTTGAACAACAAATAGTAATTTAAAACAAATGATGAATTTGTTGCTTGACGTGTGATATGCACATTGCATAGCCACACGCACACACAACAAAACAGAATTCCATTTTGTTATCTCCATGAATAAGGGCAAACACCTTTGCAATTAAGAAAGCAGGTTGGTCTTGAGTAACTTTCAAGAGTATCTAAGTGTTGAAAAAAAGAATAAAACTAAAACAAATGATTCTCTAATGAAAATGGAAATATAAATGCATAGTTTGAACTGTTTCTCAAAGACTTGGGAACGTTCATAAAAGAGAAAAATTACTGGGAAGAGACCCAACATTTTTCAGCAATTTAAGCACATACTCCAAACTCCAACATTCTTTCTCCTCCATTTAACCTTGCTTCACAATTTGGCATCACATGTCTTTATCCTTTTCCTTGTTAGCCTCATTTATGGTTCTTCTCAAACCTTTTATTCTCTCATTGCATCCCATTCTTCACAAAATTAACCAACCCTAACGAACCAAATCTATACTTTTGGCGTGTTCATCAATTTTAGAGATAAATGGTTTTCATAAATGTATCCCCATTCATTCATAAATTCACTGTTTTTTTTACGCCGTCAAATTCGCATTAATGCCCTTTAAAAGAGAAATACTATCATTAATATAATATCAAAGAGTAAAAAAATGAATAAATAGTGTATGGCAATATTAAAATGCAACAAAAGGGTGTGAAAATAAAAAGGGAAATGTAATCACGCGCGGGTGAAGCGTTTGGTGGTTTGTTAGTTGTGATAGTTTTATGGGACAAGGTTGGAGGGTTTGAAGGGGAAACATAAAAACGAGGGAGAGAAGGGGTAAAATGGTTTGTTTCGCACTTTTTTTTTCCCTTATCAACTAGTTTCTCTCTCTCTCTCTCTCCCACCGTGGGATTAAAATATTGTTTTTAACGAAAAATAAATAAAGAATTTAAGAAAAATAAGAAAAAAAAAACGCGGCTGCTGTATTCACCAAAAACAGAGACACGGTGAGGGGGGAGAGAGAGAGAGACAAACTGTGTGTTGATCGATCCCAGCTAAGATTCAACGTTGCAAATAATCGAGCACGGGATTGTTGTTTTTTCGATTGTCGCAGGTTGCGCTAACAATTTTACAATAATTTTAGTGAAATTTGAGGGTGGGATTTCTACGCGAGCCCGCGATCGTGTAGAATTTTTCAATTACTTGCGGGGGTGATTCGTTTGGCTGGGATTTTGATTCGGAGGAATGGATCGAAGAGGAAGTGGGATTTTGATTGGGACGGAGGGTTCTCAATGCAGAGGTTTAAGTTGAAGGGTTTGATTTTTGTATTTTTTGGTATTTTTTTGGATGATTTCTGCAGGAGGTAGGGATGCAATAAAGGGGCTGGGGTTAGGGTTAGGGTTAGGGCTGGGTGCTGGGAGGAGAGAGATGGTGGAGTCTGAGCTCGAAGAAGGTGAGGCGTGCTCCTTTCAGAACCACGAAGATTATGATGCCACCGTTGATCCCGATGTTGCCCTATCTTACATTGTAAGGCCCTTTAACTTGATTTTACTTGCTCCGGTATTCCACGTATAGTTTGTTGGTTTTAAAGTTTGGAAGTATTGCTGTTCACTTGTTTTACTTTGTTAGATCCGTTACCTGAATTTTATTTCCGTGGTTGGCTTAAGATGTGTAGTTTTGGGGTGTGCAGTGCTGAATTGTGTTTTGCTGTTAGTTGAATAGATTTGATATGTGGTTAGCATAGAGGGTGTTATTGAAGATTTTGAATTTTTGTGATCTTTGTGATGTCAACTTGATGCAATGAGTTGTTGAGGAAATTTTTTACCAATCTGCTTGATCTGCCTATCTTAATGTTGTTTGAATCAGATTGGTGATGCAAAGGATTTATTGCCATTTTTTCCGCTTCTTCTTTTATTTTTCATCCTTTTCCTTTCACGAAGAATTAAATGTTAAGTTATTTATGTGCTTTTGTTTGTAACTTGGTGTTTATGGTTTAATTCCCCTTAGATAAAATTGTATATGGTATCATTCACTAGGCATCCACTATGTGCCAATGATACGGCAGCGGCGGAGTTGTTTTTTTCGCTCATAAATAACTACAAGACAACGGGAAATATTTTTTTACTGTTTCTCGTTCATAAGACTGTAATGTGGAAGTTATGTAATGAAGGAACATACGGAGTTTGAAAAACAAGCCAACTGTGAGATTGCTACTTAGCACATTTTAAAATTTCCCGTTATTTCGTTATAGAATGTTGTTTGTTTCCATATCGTGAATATGTCTACGTGTATTGGATTTTTTCGGTTAGATTTAGTCCCTGTTTCTGTTTCGATAACTGTTCTTTCTTTTCTATTGACTTTTTACATTTCAAATTTTTTCCCTAAGGATGACAAAATTCAAGATGTTCTGGGACATTTTCAGAAGGATTTTGAGGGTGGGGTGTCTGCTGAGAATCTGGGTAAGTGTCTTGTTAGAATCAAGACTCATCTAATGTAGGATTACCCATTAAATAGTTATTGGAATGATGTTGAGAAACAATTGATCATTTCAGGGGCAAAATTTGGTGGTTATGGATCATTTTTGCCCACCTATCAGCGCTCTCCTGTTTGGTCTCACCCAAGGACTCCACAAAAAAATCATAGTCAAAATACGCCCAAATCCCCCAATAATTTGCCACCAGAGGTAAATTTCTTATTATATATGGGAAAATGTGACTGTGATACATTTATGTTTAACTAAATTGATGACTGTATTTAAGGATTTATGACTTGCCTACGGATTATTTTTCACTCTCAACATATTTCAAATTACCTTGCAGGGTGGGCAGGGGGATGCTGTACAATGTTCCACGGGAACACAGTCATCAAGACTTGGCCCAGGTTCTGGTAACTCTTCAAGAATGGCTGCAAACAAGGGTTTCTCTTTAGATGATGGAACCCATCAAGAAAAATACATGACAGCTAATGCTGATACATCCACTTCTAAGCATGAGTCTCTAAACAAGAAAATTACTAGCACATCAGACCAGAAGACACTGAAAGTTCGAATCAAAATGGGTCCTGATAATTTATCAACACGGAAAAATGCTGCAATATACAGTGAAATTGGTCTGGATGTGTCGCCATCATCATCACTAGATGATAGCCCCTCAGAAAGTGAGGGGCTTTCTCGTGGTCCTCAAGAAGCTCCTTTTGAATCTCCAACCATTATCCTTCAGGTTAATTATCTTTTGGCATTTTGATTTTCCTTTATCCTATTCATATCGAGCTTGATGAGTTTAATTGAAAATTTTATGGTGTCTTGGAACAGATTATGACAGACCTCCCTCGGCTATTGTCACCACTTACTGATGGTATCATTGAATTAACTGTAAAGGAAATGCGTGCCAGAGAGAGCATACCTGGTCTTGTTCATGTGGATGATGCAGAAAGCGTTGACATATCACTAAATGAATCTAATAATGTAAAAGGTGATAGAAAATTGTCAGGGGGGACTGGGAGGAAAATGAAATCTCTGGAGGGTTGTGAATCCTCAATGGAAGTCAAGGGTTCTACAAAGAAGAATACTCGGAATGATGTTGGGGTGCTGTCAAGAAAGGAACAAAGTTCAGATGCATTTACTATGGAGGAGCTAGTTTCTAACACTATGAAGCTTCCACTTTTATCCAGTTCATATTCTCTCAATGATGACTTGGTTAGGGCTGATGATGGGCCATGTGATTCTTTGAAGGAAGCTAACAAAGTTATGGTGAGGGAGAAAACCTTCTCTGATCAGGGACAAAAGGAACGGCTGGAGCCAACATCTACTGAGGTGAATGGTTTTGCTGAGAGGGCAAAGGGAAGCTCAAGAAGAAAAGTTGTGGGAGATAAGGTTTCTTTTGATGACTATATAGTAAAAGAAAATTCTCATGGAGATAACAATTGCCACTCAATAATAGCTGAATCTCATGTTTCCAGAGTTAGGACCTCATCAAACACTGAAGAGCTTCCTAAGAAGGCTAATCAGAGAGGTAGCCTATGTGAACAAGACAGTATGACATTACCTGTAGTGACTGAACATCCCTTTCTTGGGGGTAAGAAGAAGACAAAGGGAAGTCATGCCACGATGGTTATGGATAAGGAAAAAGAAAACTTGAAGATTGGATCTTCTTCGGTTCCTAAAACAAAAAGGAGTTCTGATGATAGTTCTGCATCAAAAAATGAAACTGAAGATGTCAGAGTACAAAAGAGTCTTGGAAAGACTAGAGATACATACAGAGACTTCTTTGGGGAATTGGAAGATGAGGAGGACAGAATGGATTCAATGGAGACCCCTTACGAAGAAAAAATGAAGGAATCTGAGTTAGTTGAGAGGAGTGCACCTACAACTAGTTATGGAGCAAAGGAGAGATCTGGTGCTAAGAAAGTTGATAAGCCATTATTAACAGCTGAAATATACCCTAAAACAGCCACAAATCTTTGGTGCACTGGAAATGCAAATGGTACTGATGTTGAGAATGGTAAAGGGATACCTGTAATGATACCTCCTGTTGAGATGGAAGATAATTGGGTAATGTGTGACAAGTGTCATAAATGGCGTCTTCTTCCTGTTGGAACAAATCCTGACAACCTACCTGAAAAGTGGGTGTGTAGTATGCTTAATTGGCTGTAAGTACTGTTTCAGTGGCTAAGTCATTTATTGTCCATAATGAAAGTACTAATGCCTTGTTTTGACAAACTTTTCCATATGATGCACTTATAGGAGAATAAAATAAGACGGTAGACTACTTCTCCCAAAAGTTAAAATCAGCTTATGCACATTAACTTTTATAAAAGCTCTCTCAATTAACTTATCCAGAAGCTGGTGGGCATAAGTTGTTTTTAATTTATGGAAAGGTTTGATTCATTTTCGTTTTCATTTTCTTGTATATATGCTTATGGGGAAGTTTCTCCAAACAGGGTCTAAGATTAATGAGCTTGTCAATTGGAGCTATTAAGGTTGGGTTGTGATTTTTTTATTGGAGGTTCGATACTCCATCAGGCCACCCATTCTCCCCTACCAAGTGCTTTCACCTCCAACATACCCCCTCTCCCCTTCAGAAAAACGTACTAGGGAAACTAAATTGCTTGACATATATGAAACTACTTATATTGATTATGATTGATAATTAATATCACATGCATAAATATGCAGGCCAGACATGAATCGATGTAGCTTTAGTGAGGATGACACCACTAAAGCACTTATTGCATTATTCCAAGGGCCTCCCTTTGATGGTCATAGCAACCTGCAAAATGTCTCTGGCAGTGTTATGGTGGGAGGAACCATGGCAACCCAGCATCCTGACCAACACCAGTTAAATAATGATCTGCATGTGACACCTGGGGGGAAGAAAAAGTTTGTGAAGGCGATACCAAATTCTATAAATAAAGACAGCTTTTCTCAATCATCATATCCTATCAAGAAAATCTTTCAGTCAGCGGTGAAAAGTAGGAGTTTAAATGATGTGAACAAGTCTCCTGTCATGAGTGAGGCTGATGTTGCAGCAGACAAACACAAAAATAAGCACAGGACCCTGGAGCACAGTTCTGATAGAGGTAACTCGAACTGCACTTTAATTTTGCTTATCTGCTCAATATTAACTAATGTGTAGATGTTCCAAGACCTGTTAAATTTCTCTGTTATCTTCATTTCTGGAATTTTGTTCTCAGGTGATGTGAAGAATATGAAGGTCAAAAGCAGGAGGGATCATGATCAAGATTTTTCTAGGCCATCCAAGAAATCTAAGACTGACAAAGCTCATTCTACCAATGAAGAGCGGATTGTAGAACAGAGTGGGACTACTAGGAAGGTCAGTCATAGTTCAAATAGCACTCTTCCAACTACTTCAGTTGGCAAAGATCGTCCGAGACAGAAAGACCACTCCTCTTCAAGGGACTCCAAATCAAGAAAAGACAGGCCTCCAGTTTCTGCTGAAAACACAAAAGATAAAGGTCAGGGTTCTTTGGATGAAGGATCTCTGGAGCTGGGAAATTGTGATTCAATCGGTAGTGTGAAGAAGAGGAAACTGAAGGGATATCAGGATCCTAAAACTAACAGCCCAGGTAATCCTCGCCTACAGGAGAGCAAAACTTCTGAGCATGATTTTGGTAATTCCAGGAAGGAAAAGAAGGCAAAAAGTTCAAAATCTGAAGGCAAAGAATCAAGTGCAAGTAAAGGCAGCGGTAGGACTGACAAAAAAGTTAGTCATACGAAGAACAAGAAGTTCAGGCAAAACCCTGAGAGCAGCCTGTCACAGCGGAGTTTGGATGGCATGGACTGTTCAAAAAGGGACTTGGGGTCTTTGCAGGCTTCTGTTGCTGCAACTTCAAGTTCTTCTAAGGTTTCTGGCTCTCACAAAACCAAAGCCAGCTTCCAGGAAGTGAAGGGCTCTCCTGTGGAATCGGTTTCTTCATCACCTATTCGAATTTCAAATGCAGATAAGTTTCCAAGCAAGGAAATTATTGGGAAAGATGATTCGCATGACATTGTTGCTGTGGACAGTCCAAGAAGATGCTCAGATCGTGAGGATGATGGTGGGAGTGATCGATCTGGAACAGCAAGGAAGGATAAATCTTCCACCATTGGCCACAGGTCAGGTTTTCAGGATAAGGGTGTTAATAACATGTCTGATACTAAACTTAAAGCTGAAACTACTGGCTATTTTACCAATGGTGTTGTTGACTCTATAGTCCCAGATGGGACATATCCAGGCAAAGAGCTGACTAAGCATCCAGTTGAAGACAAAACTGATGTTTATAATGCTAATATGTCTCATACAAGGAAGAATGGCATAGAATCAGGTTTTGAGGACAACAATGACAGCTGTAAGTCAGAGTCCCATGAAGATAAGGTAAAAAATACTAGTTATTCAGGTAAACTGAAAGACCAGTCTCCTCTATGTGAGACAAAACATAAGGATGGAAAAAATAAGTTGCTGGAGAAGTACGGGATCAAGCCTGACCAAAGTGAGAATATACATGCTGTCAAGAAAGATCATACAGGGAAAAATGAGACTAGGAAAAAAGAGAATCACTTAAATCGGGGTCATGAATTTCAAGATGTTAGTACGGATGCATTTCATGCTCCCACTCAGAGTCAGTTGCCAGACTCTGATATTGAAAGATCCACAAAGAGGTCTCTGTCAGAAAGAGCTGATCCAGAAGTACATGGAAAAGGGAAGCTGTTATCATCATTTCCATCTGAAGGATCTCAAGTTGAGACATTGGGTCGTTGCCCACGACCACTTGGTTTACAGAAAGGAAATGGAGATGTCGAAGTTGATCCTTCCAAAGTTGATGATGTCTTAAAGCTACCAAAAAAGCAATTGAAGAAGACCGATCATCAAAATGGAAACCAGCAAATTGGTTCAAGAAATCCCATAATTAATGGTCACAAGTCCAAGGAGCTTGATGCCCCCAGTCCAGTTAGAAGGGATTCTTACAGCCATGCTGCTAACAATGCTGTGAAAGAAGCTAAAGATCTCAAGCATTTGGCTGATCGTCTAAAGGTTTTTACCTTTTAGACTATTTTGCTTTGGCTCTTCTAGAGGCCTATTTTACTAATTTTTGGTTTGATCATACAGAATTCTGGATCCACTGGTGAGAGCACTGGTCTTTACTTCCAGGCAGCTCTCAAATTTCTTCATGGAGCCTCTCTGTTAGAATCTGGCAACAACGAGAATGCTAAACACAGTGAGATGATTCAATCAAAGCAAATGTATAGTAGCACAGCAAAATTGTGCGAGTAAGTCAACGATTTTCTTTATATCCGTGGTTATATTTGTTTGAAATATCATATTGTTGTTTAAAATACCCGTGTAAATATTCTTTCTGTTATCTATTGTTTTATTTGGTTGCGAGCATAGCATCAAACCTCATTTCATTACTGTGCTTGGCATAATTATATCTTTGGTTGATTTTAAGTTGTATATCATAGCCTTAAATGATTGGATATTTTTTGTTATAATGCCATCTAATATATTTTACCTCATTTCATTACTGTGCTTGGCATAATTATATCTTTGGTTGATTTTAAGTTGTATATCATAGCCTTAAATGATTGAATATTTTTTGTTATAATGCCATCTAATATATATATTTTTATAGGTTTTGTGCCCACGAATATGAGAAATTAAAAGACATGGCTTCAGCTGCACTTGCTTACAAATGCATGGAGGTAGCATATATGAGGGTAATATATTCTTCATACACTAGTGCAAGCAGAGATCGGCATGAGTTGCAGACAGCACTGCAAGTGATTCCCCTTGGTAATTAATTTTTTTACTTGATCTTCACTGCATTCGCATGATACAAAAGTCTTCCTTTCTGAAGTACTAAGTTTCCATTTGAATTTGTTCTAAATATCATAGCAAATCCTATCTCCATTTTGATGCTTTGGCAAATAAATGAAAAATATTCTGATAGATTTTGTATAAAGTATCATATCACATTCATTTTAATTGATTATTTGTACATTGCCCCTTTGACAAGCATTCTGTATGCCTCTTAACTTTTTATCCTGTGTTTAATTATTTTGTTTATAAAATGCATCCTTAATGCGTGAACAAAGAGGAAGAAGTAAAGTTAGATACATATGACTAATTTTGTTGATTCTAATAAGTCTAAAATTTACTTTCCTTTCCGTATGTAAATGAAATATTGTTTCTCTTTCTTAGGAGTGTCATTGGGTGTATAAAATGCATCCTTAATGCGTGAACAAAGAGGAAGAAGTAAAGTTAGATACATATGACTAATTTTGTTGATTCTAATAAGTCTAAAATTGACTTTCCTTTCCGTATGTAAATGAAATATTGTTTCTCTTTCTTAGGAGTGTCATTGGGTGGTGATGAAATTTGAGTAGATTAAATTCTGATTTTTCATTTTTGTTTTGAACCTTGTTTCATTTGTCAGGAGAGTCTCCGTCATCTTCTGCCTCCGACGTTGACAATGTTAACAACTCTACAGCAGCTGACAAGGTCACCACCATATCTAAGAGTATCAATTCGCCCCAAGTAGCTGGAAACCATGTCATTGCTGCACGACATCGTCCTAATTTTGTGCGATTGCTTGGTTTTGTAAGTATATAGTTCTTGTTCACAGAAGAATGATTTTAGCAAAAGCCACTCCTTTCCTCACATTGATAGCCTTGAAAAACTTACAGGAAACCATAGCCAAGGAGAATGAATACATCAATATCTACCTGAGCTGTGAAATATTGTTCCAAGTTAGGATCTATGATGGAGTTTGCAAGATTGAATTTATCTGGTCGAGGATTGTAGCATCCTGCCAATTAGAAGTGCTAAAATGTTAATAAACAGTATTAAAAATGCAACATAATAAAATCACAGTAAGCGTTGAACTTGACTCAAAATATCTAATAAATCCTTTCTCGAGCTTTCAGAAGGAGATCAATGTAGTCATTAACACCAAATATGTATAGATTAGTTTAGCCTTTGATGGCTAGGCTAACAAAGAGAAGTGAATTATATGTTCACAGTAAAAATAAGTAAATCACTGTAGTTTGACCTATAAGTATAAGAATGGCCAGAGAAATCTGCAAAAAAGAAAACTGGTCAAATTAAAAGCATCCTATTATTTCCCATAAGGCATGTAACTTCCCAAAACTGAAAGCCAGCGGGTTATCAAGTTAAGATCACAAAGATTTATTTTAAGAAGGCTGAATCTGTTCTAAAGTTTTGGTATGGTGGTTTTTTTTTTTAGGTTTAATGGTCTTATTTTATGAGTGAAGTTTTGGCTAATAAAAAATCTGGTATCCAATAGGCAATCAGTTCTATCTATTTGATTCCAATTCCGTTCCTACTTCAGATTGCTAGGGCATGCTATAAATAAGATCTTATGGTCTTGTGATATGGATTGTGATTTAGTGTTTGCAACAATTATTACAGCCATGCCTAAAGGGAAGCCCGCACTAGCAACTAAAAGGCTAGCTAAAATACTCTGTTGACTGTTTCTTATTTAGGTTGCACATGATATATTGGAATTAAAGACATGTATCAATTGCAGGCTCAGGATGTTAATTTTGCCATGGAAGCTTCAAGGAAATCACGGAATGCTTTTGCAGCTGCTAATTCAAGCCCGGGTGTGGGCAAGAATACAGATGGTATTTCCTCTATCAAGAAGGCTCTTGATTTTAGCTTTCAAGATGTGGAGGGGTTACTTCGTTTGGTACGGGTTGCTGTGGAGGCCATTAATCGATGAACAATTCATCTAATGGAGGATGATGAGTCTAGCCAGTTAAGACCATGGTGTTTCTTGGTCATGTATAAATCTTCACTCTGACAAAAAAAGTCTGAAATTATGAAGGGCAAGGTTTATCTTGTTGGATCTCGATCTAGTCTTGCCAACAGGTGAAGCTAGTACTGTCTCTATACATATGTCTGCCGTACACAGTGAAATTGAAGTCTCAGTTTACTGTCAGGAATTCGGTTGCTCTCTGTTGTTTACAAGAATAACATCTTTGCAATCCTTGAGATAACGTGGAGGCACTTAGAAGTAAACTTCTATAATGCAGATTCTGAGCTACATTGATATGTGGAACGATGCTACTTCCAGATTATAAATTGAAGATATAATAGGTGGATATGGATAGCCTTAGAAGTTTGAAACTAATTGCTCTTTTTTGTCCTCTTCTCATTCTGGGGGGTTTATTGTTTTGTCAATCTGTACATGTGTAAAGCTGTAACTTCTGGAGAGAGGAAGTTGTGGATTTTGCATTACTACAATCATGCTTCTACCAGTAGTGCTGCATTTTCATCTCCTTTCCAATCTCTTCATGGAAAGTAAAATCAAGGAGAGCCAAACTAAAGTGAGCATTTCTTTTTAATACGAGGACATTCATGTTCTGTCCCTGTGACCTTTTTGCATTTCTCAATGGCCATTTTTTCCTGATCTGAATCTTGTCTCATATGCAGGTTGTCTTGTACAATATCGGGATTAGGGATAAAACAATATTCTTTGCTCATTTTGTAGATAGAGATAAAACGGAAAAGGAGGGATGTACAGCAAGATTTTTTTTTTAAGTGGCAGGCAATTTACTGCAAATGGATTGTCAACTTAGAGGTATACAAGTACGCATGTCTTGTTTGCTAGCCAAGAGACTGTCAAAGTATCCCTAACTCTGATTGCATTACATCTCTTTTTTTCCTGAAGGGATGCAGTGGATGTAAATAAAAATTATATAGATTCAAGTTAGAGGCAGTACAAGATGGTTGCTGCATTCATGCAGAATCTTCAGGTATTTTGGCATTATGATCAATGGATTATTGGCATATTCCTTAATGATGATGTTACGTGCACTGCATGAGAAATTATGTAAACATAAAAGTGTATCATTTTCATTTAAACTTGGTTTTAGTTACTTAAATGGAGAAAGTTGTAAATAGATGTTACATTGATTATTTAGATATGATTAGGACGGAAATATAAAGTAAATTTTTTAAATAGCTTCTTTTAGAGGTAAAAACTTAATTAGTGAACCTTAAGGACTTTTTTATTGGCAGGATATGGTAGAATAGGATAAAGGATAAGACAAAAACAAGATAGGATAAGAGCAAATAAATTTTAATTCTATCCAGTGTTTGGTGCATACCATGATAAAGATAGGATAATATAATATGTCGGTAGTGGTGATGGTAGTAATGACAACAATAATGATAAGATAGTAACAACAATGATAGTGGTAACAACAATAGCAATAGTAATACCAAGATGATTGTGGTGGCGGCAATGTTGAGAGTTGTAGCAATAATGGTCAAAGTGATGGTTGTTATGATAACAATATTGGCAATGACACAAGTTGTTATGATAACAATATTGGCAATGGTGGTGGTGATGGTGTGTAGGTAGTTGTTATGATGGAGATGATAGGGTGATAGTGATAACAAAATGATAATGATAACAGTGATGTTAATAATGGTCGAAGTGGTAACAAAAGTTTTAACAAGAATGATAGAAGTGGTGGTGGCTGGTATAACAATAGTAGTCTGGTGGTGGTGCTAATGGTGGTTGTTGTGATAACGATGATGATGATGGGGGGATGGGGGGATGGGGGAGGCGGTGTATATTAAATGGTAACGTTAACAACAAAGTTGGTAGAAGTGGTGATAGGAACAACAACGAAAGCAGTTTGTGAGAGTGGTGGCGATGACAATGAAGACAGAGATGACAAGGGTGGTGATGATAATAGTGGTTATAATGCATGTGAAGTGATGAGAGGGTAGGAGGAAGTTTAATATCCTATCGTGTTACTTTCTAATCCAGCTCGTCTCTCAGGGTAAAAAAGAATGCAATGCATTAACATGATAGGACAGACAATAGGATAAGCATAGTTATTGTATTTTATTTTGTTGTATCCTGACTACCAAATGCGCCCTAAAGTAATAAGCAATCCTTTTACTATGTATGTGTTAATCTCTCAGATCATAGGCTGATCTTTCGAGTTTGTCTAGTTTCCTGTTCTGAAATGACTAAGGAGGAACAACTTGGATTAAAGTCATACTAGAATTTTAAAATCTTACTTTCATTGATAGGATCTATATCAAGATGATCAGGCGTTTCACACGTGTAGCACAGCAACTAATTACCAGAACTAGAGATAGAGGATTGTACGAGCCATTCGAGTTATTGATTACATAGCCTAAGACTAGGCTCCCTCAAAGGATCAGGTCCTTATGGAATATGTCCCGTCCCATACTTGCTTACTGGCTTTTGCTTTGTACATTATGCTGGTATCTATGTGGCTTGTATGGTATCATCATATAATAGACCTATTGAACTTTGTGAGTGTTTGATCCCAACCTTACAATGTATGTGGTTTTCAGGTTTGAGCAACTGAGGCAAATTCCAGATAGACCTACAATTTAGATGGCCAAATCTGTAACTGGCCTTGGTGGAGTTTTTCTTCATTTTTTTCCCCTGCTTGTCCCTTAATCAAGAGTCTTTATTTTTTTAAAACAGTTGCTAGTATTGGGCATTTAATTTTAAATTTGCCTCAAGTAACTTACCTGTTCTTATAAATGTACATAGCTTTTATATTCATCTACCTTTCAGAATATTTTACCCATCTGGTTTGGTATTTGGTGGATCTTGTGAAATTATATGGAGTATAGAATTGAAAATAATTTAGTGTAAGATTAAGAAAGGGTGTATTTTTTTTTATTGCTGAGGTCTTGTAGTTGTGGTAGTGTTTAAGAATATAATCGTTAAAGAAAAAAAAAAGTGGAATTATCTAAACTATTATTTAGAGTTGTAATTAAAATATATTGTAAATAAACTACAGAATTATAATAAAATTTGAATTCATAACCGGTGAAAATGTTCAAAGTTGAACAAAATTAACTTTTCAGTCTCTCTCTCTATCTCTTTTTATATATATAAAATCTTTCTAATCACTTTTGTTTCTATAAATGTAGAAGTTTAGTACAACTAGTGAAGATTAATGAAGTAATTAAATCTTAGAATACTCAAGATCACATGGATAACTAAGTAATGAAAAGTAAAGGTAAATCATAAATATTTGGTTTCAGAAAAATTAAGGGGATGGGAAAGGGATGTCATTTTGGTGTAACCTAAGATATATTCCTAAGTGAAAACTGACATAGTCCATTATCTTTTCGGTTTATGATAATTCCATGATTTCAAAGTAATGAATTTTATGTCAACAAGTGATATATAATTTCTCATTAAATATGGGATAAAACTTTCTCATCCTAAATATTTATGTATGATATCAATTTATATTGATGTTCTTTTATGAATTGTTATTGAATTGTTGCTCCAATAGTTAAATTATAATTTTATACTGTCATGAATACTTTTGTTTAAGTCTAAAAAGGTGATTAGATAACTCATTCAAATGGATGATGTTTAAAAAAATTATTTTAAAAATTCAAAAATTTGTATCGATCATAAATATGTTATGGTTTAGATATTCTTTAATTAGTCTTGATAAATGATTTTACTTATTTTTATTGGAGGTTTTTTCATTTAAAAAGATCAAAATATCTTTAGCTTGATTTATATTAAGCATGTTTTATAGGTAGTAATTAAAATATAGTTAGTTTAATCTAAATTAAAATATAATTGATTATATTTTATATTTAATCGAGATTTGTTTACATTTATTCTAGATCTTTCTAATATCTAAATTAAAACATTATTGATTTAAGTTCTACTAAGTTGTCATCTCTAATTTTAGTTGAAACATATTTTTATGCATTCTTAACTTTATAAGTCATTTTCAATCATAATTATTTAACTCGAACTTGGATTCGATCAGAGAATCTTTTGATCTTTGGCTGAAATATCTTTTAATTAACCTAATTCAATTTTTTTAATCAAGATATCATTGTTTGAATCTTAATTATAATTTTGTTTATTTTATTTTTAATCAAGACGTCTTTAATTCAGTCATAACTATAATATCTTAAATTTAGTTATATAAAAAATATCTTTAATTTGGACCATATTAAAATTTTATACTAAAAAAAGCTAACATTCAACATCAATACAAATATTTTTTTCACTCAATTTTATCTAAAACATTTTCAACTTTATTATTTAAATATATGGTTTACAGTCATTTCAAAATTGATTTATGATTTAAAATAGAATTAAAAACCAAACTTGAATCACACAAAAATTTTAAACCAATTTCAAAATATTCAACTAATTTTGTCTAATTAAATGGACATAAATACTTACTTGAATTTTTAAACATCCAGAGTGTGCTTATCCCTAAAATTGAAGGGGAAGAGAAATGGGTTTTATTTCCATGGCTTGGTTTGAAAGAAAACTACAATAAAACAAATACTAAAAATTTATTTGCCCTTATTATGTATAAAAATTTGGAAATAGAGAAAAAAAAAAGTTGGAAATGTTATTTTAAGGGTATCTCACCATGTTTATTGTGACAGTTGGATTTCTGTGTAGAAGTACTGTTTTATCTCTACTTTCATCAATTAACTTTGTACAACTATTGTTTATATAGCAGATACACCACCTATATTTGGGAAGGGGATGAGGGGATTTGATCTTATGTCGCCAAGTCTTTAGCTAGATGAATAAAATTAAATATTATAAATATAAGTAATAAAACAATAGTCCTTTGCTCTTATTATATACTGTATTTTAATATTAGTTTTAATTAATGTGAGATTTGAATTTTTCTTCGTACACCGTTTCGCATCCAATATTATAAAATGTAATACCTAAAGAACAGAGTGAATAACTTTTTTTTATAGATATAAGATAAACTTTGATACTATATCTTAAATTGTAAATTTAAATATGAGATCATTAATAGACTAATGCAATTGCGACCTACAGCTACACGATATAAAGTCTAACCAATCTAAACTAGAATAAATTTTTATTTTTGTCAACTACGCTTTTTTAAAATTTGAATTAAAAACCGAAACCCATTTTCCAATATCAAAAAAATAAAATGATAACTTGAACTAACTCTTAAAAGGTCAAGTATGCAGAAAAAACTATCGCTCCTAGTGCCACTGAATCAAGTAATAGACTACGATTCATTTACAGCATTTCTTAAGCTCTAGAATTTCCAACTGTACTTCCCTAAGAATCAATATTAAGCAATCTCAGCTCATGTGCAGGCGTCCCTATATATACAACAGTACCTTCCATCATCATCATCATCACGCCAGATACCTGAAGATGTTTGGATTATCTTTGTCCCTTTCCAGGTATTCCCGAGTGATGAGATCTTCGATCCTCTTCTTGATTGCTTTGATATCAGGCTAAAGAAAATAAAAAAGAAAAAACAGTCAATTGAAAAGGTTCAGAAAATCATGAAGCTAACGGAACCTATTATAGCAATTATAATACTCTACATAAAAACAACCTGCACATTAACAAAAACAAAATTCTGGCATTTCGTACCTTGAACATGCGGCCCAACTGCTCAACACACTCCAAAACTAGTTGTTGATGACCCAAAACTTTCCTACTCTTCATAATTCGCACAATTGATGCATCAATGGCATATCGCCTATCTTTGTCAACATCTTCAATTACCTTTTTCCTTTCATCGGCTGGTGGTAGAGGGATCTATAATCAACAAGTGTCACATTATTATTTAGAAGAGAAAACGATGAATCGTAGCTAACAAAGCTTCCCAATCAATGGTTTAAATACAAAAAACGATGAATAGTATGGCTACAAGTAAGCATAGACCTTTATCCTTCTCATTTTATCCGTAAATTTGTAGTTGATCTTAAAGACGTCATTTTCAGATATAACTTTATTGTTTGGCTCTTTCACAAGTATCTTATATTTCGCACATGACAGGGAATGGAGCAATCTAACAATGTCTTCATGGGCCAAGTTCAATTGAGTCATAATCTCTGAATAGCTCAACCTATCAGCATCGTTGAATAGGAGTAGGGCAGCAGCCTATAGTGTAAAATAGATACATATCGAAACAAATCTTAAATACCATGGTGGCGCAATTTTCAACATAAAAAAGGAACAATCACGGGTGAAGGGAAATTTACCGGATAGGTTGCCAGAACTAGTTCAATGTTTTTTACTTCAAACTTGCCAATGACATGGCATGTTCCCAGTGAGTAAATCCAAGTAAGTTTTCTATGTTTTGTCTTTGTTTCATAGAACCCCTTAAAAACTTCCAAGCACCTGATCTGAAAACACAAAAAAAAAATCACAATAGAGTATTAATAAGTCTTGAATTCTTCTCCACAAAAAAAAAACACGCACACACAGACACAGACAGTAAAAGAAACTTGAACAACTATCGTATTGTTACCATCTCTGAGGGAAGGTTGAGATCATAAGACTTATAACTAGGCCAAAATCCTGTGGTAAGAACAGTTACTGTCAGGTCAATTCCAGGGTTTGCATGTGAGTTATCACGGAGATATTCCTCAAATTTCATCTGATTATCCCTAGCCAATGCCAAATCTACCACCTGAAAGTTACATATTTTTAGTAAATTGTTAAACTACCCGATTAAACAAAATAAAAAGAGATAAGGATGCTAGGAACGAAGACAAAGTACCATTCCCTCCATTTTTGATGTGAACTGGCCGCCACACTGCTGCTTTAACTTCGTCAAAATACACTTTTCATAGTCGTCATTGGCACTCCTGTCAAAAAGTAATCTTCGGGCAAGCTTCTTCCTGTAAATATAAAATGCATTAAGAAGGATTTAGCATGATAATGCAAAACCTAAAATGTATGAACAATATATTACAATTAAAGAAACTAAGTCTTACCTGTAAAATTCTGCAAAGAGGTCCTTATCACTGATATATGCGAGCAACTTGACTACCTGCAAAAATTAAACAATTTTGGTAACAGAAAATAGAGATGCAAAAACTGATGAGAAATACCTAAAACTACCTTCTCAAGGGTTTCTTCAATTGCTTCATCACTGAGCTTCTCACTTCCACCTTTCTTAAGGATATTGTCACAGAATGTAGCTAATAGCTCAGCACTGGAACTACCAGCAACAGTTTTATTGCAGAATATCTCAAATGCTTCCTTTAATGCCTGAAAACGCAGACAAAATGAATTGCAAACAATTTTTTAACTATAAATCATTCTATAACATAGAAGTTATTCTTCAATTGTCTCAACAAACCTTGTGGAACAATGTGTGATTCATAAAACAGTCATTAACAAATGCTATATATTTGTCATGGAGCTCTACGAACTTTCTGACTAGGACCTGCCATGACACATGATTGATATCAAGCCTTTTCAGCTATTATTAAAATTATAAATTCGATAAACAAGACACTGAGGAGACTTAATTGTTCATGAATGCCAGAACCACTTGTGGTGAAAAAAAATTATCAGCTGAAAGAGACAAGCAGAAAATATCAATGCAAATAACAACAGCAAATGTTGAACCTGATTGCTAGCAGCTTCTTCAGCTTGTTGGACCAATGCAGTACCCTCAGCTGTAATATGCTGCAAACAGATAATCATCAAGATACAACATTTGAAAGGACTAAAAAACTGAAGAAACTCAATTTAGTCACAGCGCAATACAAAAACTAAAGAATCCAACCTGCTTGAATACATTAGCAACAGGATCCAAGCCTTTAGGTATTTTATGGTAAAGCCTATACATCCGAGAGAGATCATCCACCTAGGCAATAGAAAAATCGGAGAGATATTTAACCACAATATTAAAATAATTAAGTGCCATGTAGATAATATTGCTAAATAATTGATTTTACAATTCTGATTTGGGTACTGTAATTTGTAAAGTAGAATATCATTTCTAGTTAGGAATATTGTTTGAAATCTACAATGTTTTGATTGCTAAAATAACTTTACAGTTCATTGAAGGCATATGGTTAAAAATATTCTTGCCTAGCCATTAGTTTTGATTCATTTAAGTGACCCCAAGTCAAATAATAACCAAAACATGGAGGCTAGGTGGTAAAAACAATTGTTTTTTCAGCAGTTACATTTAAACCAAAATAAGCTGAGAAAACACCATCAAATAAAGTAATGCAAAACAATCACGTACCTTGTTATCTCTAAGTAAGGCACGGCAACCAGAGTTCTCTTTCTCAAGTAATTGATTTGCATGAGTCACCAGCAACTCGTGTTGCACTTTCTATAAAAACGAACAAAATAGGAAAAGTAACAAATCTGTGAAGCATCAAGGAGATAATTTAACATAAACAAGTAATTTGTAAGGGAAAAAACTTCCGATTAGGAATACATTTATTTTGAATAAATTTAATCACAATTTTCATGATTACAATGCTGAAATTAAAATTTCTTCAACAAACTTAGATAAGCAATATGCACAAAAATGTGCTTTAAATACTTCAAAACATTTCAACTTTTTATTTACAATGGCGTGTTATCAGCACATATAGGTGCAAGTTTCCCACTCGAAGCTAAACAATTTTCATCATCATCAAGCACATAATATATCTGCCACAACAGTACACATAAATGGATAAACAGAAAAATGATCAAGAAATTCTAATTATCCAAATAACAAAAAGAAAGAGACATGTATTTGTTCTGACCTCTATCAATTTCTGCTCAGTGCTATAGTGTAAATAATGAGCCACTCTATCCCTCTCCCTTCTCAAGCAATCCTCAGCCTATGCAATAAGAGGGAAAAATGTTATTACAGTGTATCCGCTACAAAGATAAAAAAAATCTCAACTCCCAAGGTTGTATACACAGACTTACCTTAAGCATATAATCTGGGCAGGAATCAATCTCAATCCAGTCTGTAGCCTTACTTTTGTAGTAAGCAGCAGTATCCTGAAGCATATGTACCTCAAAATCCTTTTGATATTGATCTGTTTCGCCCAAACCAATCTCAACAAATATATCAATAACATTTTTCAACAATGATCTATCAATTTGTTCACCCTCACGTTCCTTATCAATCTGCAACATTAGCCATGGTTATTCCAAACGTCAATAGTAGCAAATAAGTATGGCATCACAATATGAAGCTTACAAGTGTTATCAAAGCCTTCCTAGTATTGGCTCGAATGTCCATATAAACCTGTGACAAAAATAAAGGTACATCAGCAGACTTTACTTTTAACATTGCCCTTCAGCAGATAATCATGGATAAGATCATACAATATTTAACGGAGATTAATAACTGACCAAATCACGGAAGCAGATGAGCCCTACTTCCCTCAGTCCAGGCAGGGAGCGTCGGGCAATGAAGTAGCGATCAAGATAGAAAAAAAACCGTGAAAGCCACCGAACCATGACCTTATGATTTAACCATCTTTCTATCAGTTCCCTCAACATGAACTCATCATGTTTCTCTCTTAGAGATGGCAAAACCTAAAAGGGAAAGACGTTGAAGAAAACAGTATCAAACTCTATATGTTATACTATAACACAAGATTAAATCAATAAAGAAAAAAAATGGAGGAGATTAAGAAAATTTTGGGATAGTAAACCAGAGTTACCACAAAATTTCAAATGGCTAAAAATATATTAAAACAAAAAGACATAAACAAGAGAGAGATGTGCGTACAGTGATTTTAATATATTCATCAAATGCATCCTTGTATTTGTCGTAAAGCTGTTGTGAGAAGTCATTAGGTGGCTTCTGAGTGCACATATTATAAATGGTTCTGTGGTAGTTATGTTAATAAAAAACACATGATATTCAAAACTAAGCATCAATAAGTGAATAGAATAAAGCACCAGAACATTGTCAAGAGCAAAAACAGAATTCAGGGAAAATGGATACGTGTATAGCATGATGTATTCCTCAGAGCAGAAGGGAGGTTCTGGTAATCTTTCAAGAATTCTCTTCAGCTTAGTAATTCCCTTCTGCATATAGGTCCATCCTATATCTAAATCGATGATCTTCCGATCCATTGTGCTGCAGAAATAACAACAGCATTCACACTAGAACATAATCCAAATCAACTTTCTAGCATAGAAATTCCAGCATGCAGTAACCACATGCATGTTAGAATAACTGTGAACAAACGACATGGATTTCAATAAACCCTAGAATCAATGAGATAACCAATAAAAATTCTGACAACTTCCTCATGAAACACAAACTTTCAGTAATAACACTGAAAAGATGGCAAAGAATAAAACTAAAACTCCAAAACACAAAATCATGGACTCCGTACGGAGAAAAACTAACCACAACCTCGACAGAAAATAGCAATACAAAACCTAAGTGATGCGTTAAAGGATGAAGAAAGGTTGTTTAGATGATTCTGTTATGATTTTCTATGTTATGTATTTATATAAATTATAACATATTAGTATTAAAAGAGAAATGAAGATCCAAGGTGTAAAAAAAGAGTGAAGATCTTGAAGGTGTAGAAGTAGATACAGTGTGATGCAAGAGAGTGAGCAGAGAATGAACCAGAGAACTTCGCATCTCATTATCTTTTTGTAGGTATGGATTTGCTTACATTCCCAACAAATAATTATTTATTCAATTAAAAAACACATAAAAATGTGTTAGCAAAGTATATTTTATTTTAAAATATAAAATATATTGATATTTTAAAATATTTTTAATGTTTTTTAAATGTTTATAAATTAAAATTACTGTAAAATTAATAAAAAAATATAAATTTATAATTTATATATAAATTATTTTATTTTAAAAATTATATTATTTTTTTAAGTAATTTACAAAATGAAACAATTTAGTTTTTTTTTATATCAGATTTAAAAAAAAAACAGTAAATATATATATATATTGGTAAAAGAATTTTTTTCTCAAATTTTAACAATAAAAAATATGTTTTTCTATTAATTTATATTTCAGAAATACTGTTTTTAATATAAATTTTTAAAACAATTATTATAATAAAGTATATAATAATAAGATATTTTAGCTTTCTTATATCTTACATATACTTACAAAAATTTATATAATTATTTATTATTTATATTTTATAAATAAATTATATATATTATTTCTTTTATTATATAATACATACATGATATTTTTCATTTCATATTTTTTATTTAAAAAAAATATTTTATAAAATAAACTATTAAATTTATTAAATTATTTAATATAATTTTAAATATTCCTTTTAAAAATAATTTGTGAATAATTTTAATTTTAAAAATCTAAGAGACTTTGTATATATATATATATATATATATATATATATATATATATATATATATATATATATATTAGTAATGAATTATAAATCTCTTAGCAAGTTTTTCATTCTAAACTTTTTTTTAATTCGAAGAAAATATAAGGACACAAAACTAACTTATGCATTTAAAATCTTTCTAGGAATCTGGTAGATAGATTTAAAATTGATTTGTGCATACTTAAACTTAATGTTAAGTAATAATAGAAGATGTTACATTCATACTAAATTAACCCCTTCCTCGTTTACTAAGAACTAATTAATATATATATATATATATATATATATATATATATATATATATATATATAAAGATGTTATAAGAGTTGAAAAAGTATAATCTAGTACGAACTCTCAAAATTTGACAAAAAGATATAAACAATTTCTCAATTTAACATATTTTTTATATTATATGTTTAATATATATATATATATATATATATATATATATATATATATATATATATATATATATTATTTCATCTTATTACCCTGTTTTTAAATATGGTTTACTCAAAGTATAATAAAAAATATTTTAATAATTATCTTTTATCAAAAAAAATATTTTTTAATACAATTAATAAATTTATAATAAAATCAAAATATTATTTTTAAATTATAATATCAATATTTAATAAAAATATAACATGTTTAGATCAGATTAAAAAAATTACAAACTCAATTCCGTTATACTTATTTTATATTATAAAATAAATTAACTAGTTTCAATTTTAAATTAGTTTGGTAATAATGTTGTGTTTTAAATTAATAATCCATTTCAAATTCATTTAATGTTTTAAAATCATGTATATAACGATCACTCAATAATAAAATCATTATTACTATTTTGATAAAATAAAATTATTTTCTCCGTAAAAATTTATGATATTTTATAAAAAAGTATTAAATAAACTTAAAAATTATTTATATATTTTAAAATTAAAAAATTTCAATACTTTTTATTAGAAGAATAAATAAAAAATTTAAAATCATATAAAATTAGTTATTTTGATATTTAAATTCTTACTAATATCAGTATATAGAATATTAATAAATACAGGGATCTTGTAGTCGTGCTAGTGTTTAAGAATATAATCGTTAAAGAAAAAAAATGGAATTATCTAAACTACTGTTTAGAGTTGTAATTAAAATATATTGAAAATAAACTACATAATTATAATCAAAGTTGAACAAAATTAACTTTTCAGTCTCTCTCTCTTTATATATATATATATATATATATATATATATATATATATATATATATATATATATATATATATAATCTTTCTAATCACTTTTGTTTCTATAAATGTAGAAGTTTAGTACAACTATTGAAGATTAATGAAGTAATTAAATCTTAAAATACTCAAAATCACATGGATAACATTATAGATGTATTTAATGACAGGATTATAACTAAGTAATGGTAAATCATAAATATTTGGTTTCAGAAAAAATCAAGGGACAGGAAAGGGATCTCATTTTGGTGTAACCTAAGATATATTCCTAAGTGAAAACTGACATAGTCCATTATCTTTTCGGCTTATGATAATTCCATGATTTCAAAGTAATTAATATATAATTACTTATTAAATATGGGATAAAACTTCCTCACCATAAATATTTATTTATGATATCAATTTATACTGATGTACTTTTATGAATTGTTGCTCCAATAGTTAAATTATAATTTTATATTGCCATGAATACTTTTTTTAAGTCTAAAAAGTGATTAGATAACTCATTATGTTTTAAACAATTATTTTAAAAATTATATCGATTATAAATATGTTTAAATATTTTTTAATTAGTCTTATAAATGATTTTACTTATTTTTTATTAGAGATTTTTTTCATTTAAAAAAGGTCAAAATATATTTAGCTTATTCATATTAAGCATGTATATAGGTAGTAATTAAAATATAGTTAATTCAATCTAAATTAAAATATAATTAATTATGTTTTATATTAAGCATGATGTATTCTTCAGAGCAGAAGGCAGGTTCTAGTAATCTTTCAAGAATTCTCTTCAGCTTAATAATTCCCTTCTGCATATAGGTTCATCCTATATCTAAATCGATGATCTTCCGATCCATTATGATGCAGAAATAACAACAGCATTAGATATAAAATCAATGCTTCTTCTAAGCTAAAAACATTAGCATATATAAAACCAATGCTTCTCCTAAGCCAAAAACATTAGCATAAGTGGGAAAAATAGCAACACGATAAGAAAGGATACTGAAAAAAGGCCTTGGTCAAATGGGAGTAAGGATCAAAACCTATTACAAGAAATATTATTTTATTATCTTTTATTTAAATTATATATTAAGAGATTTTATTATCTTTTAAGAGAAAAGATAAAAAAAATTATGTTATTATTTTGATTAGGCAATATTATTTTATTATCTTTTATTTAAATTATGTATTAAGAGATTTTATTATTTTTAAGAGAAAAGATAAAAAAAATTATGTTATTATTTTGATTAGGCAGTTATGATTGAGATATTATTAAGGGTTAAATATGTTTTTAGTCCCTATACTTTCATATGAAATTGAAAATAGTCATTCCATCATAGTTCACATAAAAATAATCCCTATATTTTTGAAATGATTGAAATAGGTCCATATTTTAACAGAAACGGTATGACTCATTCATTATTTGACACGTGTAATTATTTAAAAAAATAAAATTAAAAGGTGTCAAGCTTTTAAAAGTCATTTAAATCCGCATTTATAACATTTAAAAGTCATTTAAAAAGAAATTTAAACTTCTCTACCATTTATAAGTGATTTAAACTTCTCTACCTTAATTTTCAAAAATAAAAACCCTAACTATAGTATACTACCGTTGCACTCGCTAGTCAAACCACAACGAACCGATGACACCCTTGAACTTCAAAGTCACTTTGACTTCATACAACCTTTATAGAGAAATGGGAAGAAAGAAAAGACCTTTGGTGTGTGACGAGAAAGAAGAGAGAACGAAAAGTAGTTATGACGAGAAAAGAAGAGAGAATGAAAAGTGATTGTGACAAGAACTGAAGAGTTTTGGTGCGTGAGGAGAAAAGAAAAATTTCTACTTTTTAATTTTGTTTTTTTTAAATGATAATATCTGTTGAATAATTTCTATTTTTTAAAAGAAAAACTTTGTTTTTTTTTTAAATAAATACACGTGTCAAATAATAAATGAGTCATACTATCTCTCGATAGGCAGATCACCATATATTTAATGTCATTTAAAATAGGGACCTATTTCAATCATTTCAAAAGTATAGGGATCATTTTTATGTGAACTTTGACAGAGGGACTATTTCTAATTTCACATGAAAGTACATGGATACTTAACCCTATTATTAATATTTAATATTTTATAATATTTTTACTCTATGTATAGGTACATGAATAAAAATATACGCACATAATGTATCAAAAATACACATACACAAAACCCTACAAAATTTCATCAGTGGTATCAGAGCTTTGATTCGATACAATGAAAGGAGAAAGAAACTTTTCACAAATCGTTATTCCAATTTTTGATGGCGAAAATTATTACTTATAGGTTGTGAGAATACAATCTTATCTTGAATGATTAAATGTATGAGAAGCTGTGAAAGAATATTATATTGTTGATCCGCTACCTGAAAATCTCATCATAGCTGAAATTAAATTTCATAAAGAAAGAAAAACAAGGAAGTCAAAAGCTAAATCATATATGTTTGTTGGTGTTTCACAAATAATCCTCACCAGAATCATAACGCTAAAATCACCCAAAGAAATTTTGGATTATTTGAAAGATCAATATGAAGGGAACAAGAAAATTCAAGGTATGAAAGTTCTAAACTTGATA